AAACTCCTCAGTTTCTCAACCAGGATATCATGGGGCACTTTGTCAAATGCCTTGCTGAAATCTAGGTAAACCACATCTACAGCATCCTCACATAAGCAAACTGATGCTCTAAGTGTTGTAACAAAGACTATTACTCTATATGAAGTGAAAAATGCCTGACATTCAAGCTGGATTCTGAAAAGAGGTACTTGAGATCATATTGTAAATATATGTTGGCTACTGAAGTCCACCAAAGAATTGCAAAAGATCTGCCTATGCTTTATAAACTTCAGCAAAGCTTTGAGTGTGTGGATCCAGAGAAACTATGAGTGGTCCTGAAAGAAATGTGTGTGCCTCATGATGTCCTGATGTGTAGCCTGTATTGTGGACTAGAAGCTAACGTTGGGACCCAATATGGAGACACTGAATGGTCCCCTATAGAAAAGGGGCCAGACACAGGTGTATTTTATCTCCCTATCTAGTCAACCTGTACACATATTACATATTATATTATGAGGAAAACTGAATTAGGATCAGAGGAAGGAGTGAAAATAGGTGGGACACATCAATAAGATACGTAGAAGATACCGTACTATTGGCAGAAAGCAGCAATGACTTGAAATGACTCCTGATGAATGTGAAAGAAGTACAGAAGTAGGACTGCAGCTGAATATTCAGAAAACAAAAAATCATGACTGCAGAAAAATGAGAGACCTTTACAGCCAATAAGGAAGAAATTGAAATTGTGTAAGATTTTGCATACACCTTGGCTCAATCATCAATTCAAAGGATGATAGCAGCGAAGAATCTTGAAGAAGACTGCAACACAGAAGAGCAGCAATGAAGGAACTAGAAAAGATAATCAAATGTGTTTCACTGGTGACTAAGGCCAAGATCATTCACAGCTTTCTGTTGCTGATCACTATGTATGGAATTGAACACTGGACAGTGAAAAAAACTGACAGGAAGAAAGCATATATTCACAACATGATGCTGGAGGAGAGCTTTGTAAATATCCTGGACAGACGGAAAGACAAACAAGTGGCTCCTGAATCAAATCAAACTAGAGCTTTCCTTAAAAGCAAAAATAACAAAACTGAGACTGCCATACTTTGGACACATTATGAGAAGGTAAAACTCACTGGAGAAGATAATTGTGCCACGGAAAGTTGAAGGCAGATGAAGAAAACCAAGGTCAAATAAGAGTTGTATTGACTCCATAAAGGTAGCCCCAACCTTGAATTTAGAACAGCTAAGCAAGGATGCAATGGATAGGACAGCTTGGAAGGCTATCATTCATAAGGTTGCTCTAAGTCAGAGACAACTTGACAGCAGATAACAACAACCATCATACAAAACCATTAACAGTGTTCCTACATGGAAAATTACATATTTACAGAAGGAAATTGTGTACAAAAATATAAATTGTTTAATAGTACGAAATCTCTTCACATTCCTTAGCTTAAAAGTGAAGAGGTTCCCCAAACTATTCATTCAAGAGACATTAGAGAAAAATACATCTTGTAGCTCCAATGCTTTAATTTGAGTTTCTAAATTCTGAATGGATAAGATACAGGTATACAAACTAAATACATTCCTGAATTATTTTTGAAATGCTAAAAATGTTTAAAATAGTCTAAAAAGGATGCATCCTGTGACTTTCAGAAAGCGTAAGAAGCACTATAACAACGTTCCTGCCATTTATGAACTGCCTTGGGAGTTTGAGCAAGGCAGATAATACTCTCACTCACTCAGATTTTGTCATGCCAGAAAGAAATCTGTTCTGCAGTTTTTCTCAAAGCAAATGCAGTAAAAATATCTAATATAATTTCTTAAAAGATCCTCATTCTCTTTCACAATGACTCTACAGAAACAACAAGCAACAGGCCACCCACATAGTTTGTCTGGCTAGTCTCTTACTCCTGATTTCTTGTCATCTAGTACTAAGCTGAAACATCTAACTCCATACATTACATGCACACTTGCTATAATATATGCTCATGCAACATAGGAGGCTAGATGGTGGAAGTGTACCATATGCTCAGTGAGTTAGATTCAAGTCTCTTAAAAGTAAAAAATTAATAATGGAAGATAATTTGAAGGTAAAACCACAATACTATTTTGATTTTGTAGATGCATGTCTTGATGCGAGCACCGCTTTAGAGTCTTGTCTTGGAATAGCCAGTGGCTGGACAGTTTTCATCTCTTTTGCAGCAACAGGTGCCAAAGAGGGCATCATCTTGTTATTCTGCCCTTCAGAATCTAATGGAAATTTAGATGCTTTCAACCCAAGTGGTGCCAGTTTGGGCATGGGCCTCCATGTCATGTCAGTGTTGCCAGCTTCTACATTAGTTTTCATATGTAAAATGGGAGGTGACACACTTCTTTTCTTTGCCAGAGCTTCCACACTTTTTCTACTTCCACCACTGTGTATTGCTGAGAGGTCAGGATCTGGGGCCTTTAATTCAGAGCCTAGCATTATTTTCAAAGCATCAGATTCAGCTGAAAGCTCTCCTGAATTCCTGTTTCCATCAGAAAGATCATCATCATCCAAATGAAGCAGGAGAGGGGCTATGGAATCACTATTCTCCTGGACTACAGAAAGGTCTTTAAAGCTTCCACTCATTGCACCAAACTGAAAAGGAGAACCATCTGCAGCATTTGATTCCCGGCGACTTTCCATATCCCCTAGAGAAAAGCCAGAGCTTAGAGAGTTGGGAAGTTCTGAAATGTCAGAGGCATCGTCATTCAATTGCTGATTGAGAAATGCAATTTCATTTAGAAGTGAGGTGAGAGTTTCATCTGTGTCATCATTCTCTTCTATGTCCATTAAATCATTTGCATCCAGTGTTGGTTCATGGATCACAGAGGCTACTTTTTGCAGTTCCATCTCTAATCCTGAGCCCTTGGGTTCATTAACTTGCACCTTTTGAAATGAAGACTCTTTTGATCTTTGACAGTCACCTCCCTTGTCCATCTGTTTTGTTCTTGCCTGGCTTCCACTTAACTCTTCAATACAGAATTTTGGTGAAAAAGATCCTAGGGTTCCCTTTAAACTGGAGACATTTACTATTTGTGGAAAACTATCCTTCCCTCCAAGAAAATCTGGTAGTGTTCCAGTGGCATTTCTCTCTTTTCCAGAACTTCCAGCTTTTCCTTCAGACTGATTGGTTGTTTCTTGTGATACCACTTGTAGCAAGGAAGGCTCAGATGTCTGGGAATTAACACCCCCAGTTATGTAAGGATTCTTATCTACATCCAGGTTTATTTTTTTTCCTTCAGTAGCTAGTGATGTCACATTTACTATCCTTGGCATCATAAATGAGTCTTCATTTTCTGCAAGTCCAAATAAAGCAAAGTCTGTTAGAAGAGCAGTGGCAGGAGCTAGATCATTCCCCTCCATCTAGACTGCATCTTCAAATTGTACCTGCTAATCACATTAACACATCTCCAGAAAGACTGATGGAAAAGGCAAAGAATGTATTTCCTATCCCAAGCAACCCTACAAATACAGGCTATGATAGTAATGATTTGTATCCAGGCTGTTAGTTGAAGTTAGATTCCATTCAAGTCAATGGGATAAATTAGTAATAATTTAAATTCCACTGATTTCAACTGGAATTACGTGCAAACAAATTTAGTTGGTATTCAACTCAATGTATTTTTTCATGTTGCTAATCACCACCAGAAAAGTAGTTCTGTACATTAAATTCTTACACAGGGATAGCCTTTCCAAGAACAGGTTGGCAGATCCCACCTTGAGAAGAACTGCATGCTTTGTTCAGCACTCCAAAAGCTGTGCTGGCCACTCTCCTGCTATGGCCAGTGGCACCTCAGGTGTACCACTTGCCAGTTGCTTCATGCAGAGGACACCTTGGAGTTCAGGAATGAGTATATTCTCTGGGAAACTCCATGGACTGTTCAGCAGAAAGCAACCGGTACAGCAATCTAGAGAGCCTGGCCCATGGTCCCTCACTTAAGTCTCCTTTCTCAGAACAAGACAGTGGTCTATGCTACAGCACAGGCTTTTTCCATGGCTACCTCCCTGGCAATGCCTTGCTCTGAGAAAGGGGCCCCTTCATAGGAAGCTCCTGAAGGAGAAGGTTGCAGTGTTACCAGGAGAGAGCAAAGAAAGGTACAGTGGTATTGTCACCAGTTTTGGGAGGGAATGGAGGAAGAGGCAGGTAGACACTTCCACTGTTGTCACAGCCAGGAGGAAAGAGAGGGAAACTAGTAGGGATGAGGGTGACAGCTACTTCTGTGGACACCATTATCATCATGTGAATGGGGAGGACAGGGCAGAGAAGAGAGGACAGTGCAACCTCTTGCCTCAGTTGACAGGTCTTGTGCCAGTTGTCATAATACATGTGCACATGATAAATCCCAAGATCTTCCTGAAGTCACACACCAATAAACACTGTTATTTGCTTCTCAACTTGCACTTAAACTTTTGTGAAAGTATATCCAGACTAAACTTCAGCAACCGTCCCTTCTCACAGCCTCTCAGTACATGTGGGAAACCTAAGGGCAGGGCAAGAAGATGAGTAATACTTGCAGCGATTTCCAATCTAGCTGATGTAGTGTACGGTCAAAAAAGAACTGAGGGACTGGGCGGGAGTCCCACCCTTCTTATCCAGAAACCCTGAGGGGGTGGGGTGGGGCTCCCACCCACTCCATGATGCTGAGCTATAGAAAGTCTTTCCAATCTAGGCCTTGTACTGCCTGGCAAAGCCCATGTGTGTGATGCATGGAGAACACTATGAAGATCAGTGTTTCAGTGAGCTATCCACCAATATCAATTTCCTTGTTACTGCCAGTTTAGACACCAGTTTCTACCTCAAAATAAAACACTTTACGTTTAGTTACAAGTAACCTAATTTGCTGCAGTCTGAAAAGATCCTTTTGAAATTGTCTGCAGTCCCTTTGGGCTCTCATCACAACAGATAATGTTATGTCATCCACACTGACACTCTCAAGGCACCCAAAGATTAGCGAAGCAGGACTTTCCCTTCGGAAGCCATACTGAAACTGTTCTATTGCTGCTAATATAAAGCTTACCTGAAGTGAGCTCTGGAGCAGTTTCTACAACTGAAGAGGGTGAGCTAGTGGCCACTGCAGACAAGGCAACAGGAATTGCAGAGGTAGGGAGGATGCCTTTCACCTGCACTGGCACTGCTGAGCCTGGCAACTGAATCATCACAGAAGCAATACCTTATTTGGGAAATAATAAACCAACTTTAAGATAGCCTGCCAAGGCAAAAGAAAATCAAGCAAAAAAGTTCTCTGTACATTTGTAACATATGGCACCAGATGAAATGACATGTTAATCTCATTTACTACCATATGTTACAGTTAACAGATACAGTTGACATACTTCTTTTTACAATTTAGTTATGCCTTCCTCTCTGTTTCTTTAGCAAAACTTAACTGTCTTTCTCTCAAGGACTCAATCAAAAATACATTTTTGTTTATATCAAATGTTTATCTTTTAGAAGTACTGACTAGAAGTTGGAAGAGATATGAAAGAGTACTTTTACAAGATTCATACTGAAAAAGGTCAGTTCAAATTCAGTGTTGATTTGTCTGTTGTGTTTTAATCTTACCTGGCTGCGTTGTCCCATTACTGCCATCGTTTTCTGATTTGAGTTCAGTTTGCAGGAGTGAGGAAGGCAGGCTAGCAACTTGCCCTGGTACCAAAGGACTCTTGAATGCAAGAACTTGGCCATTTGCAGTCATTACTAGACTGGTGTTTGTTAATGTCATAGAAGGTGGTGCATCTTCTGTACGGAATTTTAAAAAATGAGTATTCATATAAGTATACTTGGAAAAGAACATCATCACATTAAATGTCTCAGCATTCATCATCTTAAGCCCACTTCCCTGATAAGTGAAAATGGTGGGCACTTGTAACAGAAGCCTTTTGTGTAATAGTACACCCACTGTGGAACATCCTCCCCAGAGAGGTTAACCTGGACTCCTCCTATTTGTCCTTTGGATGTCTAGTGGAGACAGTGTTGTTCTGCTGAGACATTGTTCTGTTAATCTGTATATTTTTATTGTACCTCACTTTAAAATATTCATTGACTGCGTTGGCACAACAGTTCGCTGGGACTTTTGAGACATGGCGGGCTATCAAGTTCTGCACACCTGAGACAGGTTTCTCAGGGTGGTATAATCGTGGGATTAAAAGCCACCCCAACAAGCTAAGGGCTAGAGTAGGTTCCCTTTGACCCATGATGAGTTTTCATATTAACATAGAAACAGAGTGAGTCAGAAAGGGTCTCCAAGGCTATCTAGTCTGACCCCTGACTCCAGCTGGCTCCGCTCACAACATGTCCACCATGTGCATGTCTAGCCTATCCTTCAACACCCTCACCGATGGGACCTCGATCACCTCCCATGGAAGCCCATTCCATACCCTCGAGGTGCTGACTATCAGGAAGTACTTCCTGGCATCCAAGTTGAACCTTGGTTCCCTGAGCTTCACTCTGCTGGAGCACGTCCTGCCCCCCTCTGCATGGGAGAACAAGACTCTACCCACCTCTGTGTGACACTGTTCTCTCAGTCTCGCCTCATACAGCTTTCCCTGCAAACTAGCCACCAACCTTGTGGCCCTACGCTGCACTGACTCTAACCTGGCTATATCCTTCCTGTAACGAGGGGCCCAAAACTGAACACAATACTCCATTTGCAGGTGCACCAGAGTCGTATAGAGTGGTAGTAATACCTCTCTTCATCTAGAAACCATGCTTCTGGCTATGCAACCAAGGGTGGTGTTTGCCCTCTTGACCACATCACACTGCTGACTCATGTTTAGCCTGCAGTCAACCAGCACCCCAAGATCCCTTTCACAAGTGCTGCTCTCCAGCCACTTCTCCCCTAACCTGTACTTATGACACCCATTCCTATGCCCCAAGTGCAAGACCTTGCACTTATCCACATTGAACACCATCCTGTTGTCTCCTGCCCACTTCCATAGTCTGTCCAGATCCTTTTGGATCTGGAGTACCTGCTCCTCAGTTGTGGCCACTGCCCCAGTTTTAGTATCGTCTGCAAGTTTGATCAACAGACTGGTCACCCCTTCTTCCTTGTTGTTGATGAAAAGATTAAACAGGACAGGCCCCAGGACAGAGCCCTGGGGGACCCGCTTGTCACTGGCTGCCATCCTGATGATTCCCCACTAATGGTTACCCTTGGCTTTCAGTCAGTCAACCATGCTCTGATCCATCAGACAGTGCACTGGTCTATCCCAAAACTCCTCAGTTTCTCAACCAGGATATCATGGGGCACTTTGTCAAAGGCCTTGCTGAAATCCAGGTAAACCACAAGCATCATTCCTCCATCTAGCCACCTTGAAACCTTGTTGTAGAATTCTACAAGGTTTGTCTGGCAGAACCTGTTTTTGCAGAAGCTGTGTTGTGTGGCTGCCAGCCTCTCTTTCCTATCTATCAACACTAAATCTCTCACTATCATGAGCCTTTTCATTGTTTTTCCTACAATGGATGTAAGGCTAACTGGTCTGTAATTCCTCATGTTCCTTCTTACAACTCTTTTTGAAAATTGGGACCACTGACGCTACCCTCCAGTCCTCTGGAACTTCACTTGTTCTCCACAAGGCCTCAAAAATGGAGGCCAGCAGGCATGAGAAAACCCCTGCTAACTCTCAAAGTACTCTCAGGTGTAACCCGTCAGGGCCCGGTGCCTTGTAAAGTCCAGTGCCCTGAGGAGCCCCTCGACTTCTAAGGGGGTGACTCTAATCTGTGCCCATAAGCCCCCGGCCTCATCTAATCTCCCATGAGGATCTCTCCCATCCTGCTTTGGGGAGAACACCGAGACAAAATAGTCATTTAGCATCTGTGCCTGTTCCCTCACATCAGTCATTGGATCCCCTTCCTCCTTATTTAGCGGTCCCACTACCTGTCTCACCTTCCTCTTGTTATTTACATGCTGATAGAAGCCCTTTTTGTTGTTCTTGATATTCTTTGCAATTCTCAGCTCGTAATCAGCCTTAGCCTTGTGAAGAATCCTTCTGCAATGGGCCTCCTCCTCCTGGTATACCCTTTTGTCTATTTGCCCCAGTGCCCATTTCCTACAGAGGTTCCTCTTGCATCTAATCCGTCTAATTGCCTCCTTTCGCATCCATGGCAGCACTCTTCTTTGCCTCCCCGCCTTACTAACTAGAGGTATCATCAAGGCTTGCGCCTCCAAAACCTCCCTTTTGAGTGCCATCCACCCTCCTCAACTCCCTTGCCTTCCAGTAATCTCTCCCAGGAGACTTTCCCCAGTCTTGCCTTCAGTTGGCCAAAGTTAGCCCTCTTTTTCAAGAGGGGGCCAGTTGAAGGGTGTCAGCGATGGAGGCAGGCCAAGGCAGTGCGGGTGGGGGGTGCGTGCCTATCCCAGCTTCTAGTGCTCGACCTGCTGCACGTCCCCATTGCCCTGATTTCAAAGCAAAGAATGGAGTGATCACTCGCATCCAGAGCTCCCCTAATCTGTACCACATCTATCAGCTTCTCCCTGTTGGTCAAAACCAAGTCAAGGATGCCCCCTCGTCCCATCGCCTCTTGAACCCTCTGCGTGAAAATTCCTCCCTCTATAGCAAGGGTTCTCAAACTACGGCCCATGGGCCGGATCTGGCCCGCCATGCCCATTTATTTGGCCTGCCACAGAGGTTTTGGACTCGTCGTGCATGCACTTGTGTGCTGAGGCGCCGGCTTGCTCGCAAGGAGATTGTTTTGGACTTGCTCGGAGAAAAAGATACCGTGTGAGCAAGCCGGCGCCTTACCATGTGCATGCCCAGTGGTGGCTTGCTCACAAGGAGATCATTTGGACTCACTTGGAGAAAACGATCTCTGCGCATGCATGCCCTTGCCTCACTGCGTGCGTGCAAAGGCGCACCCCCCCCCCGCACCGCCTTGGTGGCCCGCTTCCATCGCCGACACCCTTCAACTGGCCCCCTCTTGAAAAAGTTTGAGGACCCCTGCTCTATAGTGTCTAGGAAGCGATGTGATCTGAGTCTCCCAACTAATATCCGGGAGATTGAAATCTCCCATAATTACTGTGTCCCTCCCCCGAGATATCCTTGGAATCTGATCTGTCAGGACATCATCCAGGGTCTTAAGTTGACCTGGAAGGCAATAACATACCCCCACTGTCAGGTCCCTCTCCCTGTCAAAACCCCTTAGTTTCACCCAGACTGCCTCTACCAGATCCCCAACTGCGTTGCATTCCATCTCACTGCATCCTAGCTCTTCTGTGACGTATAAAGCTACCTGCCCTTCTTTCCCTTCCTGTCCTTTCTAAACAGGTGATACCCCTCTATGTTTACATTCCAGTCTTGCCTTTCATCCCACCAAGTTTCTGTGATCCCCACCAGGTCATACCCTCCTATTCCCAGGAGAGCTTCAAGCTCTTCCTGCTAATTACCCATGCTCCTAGCACTGGTGTACATGCACCTCAACTCCTTCCCACAGCTTCCTTTCTTTGGAATCCCCAGCCTCCTCCTCCCTCCCATCTTCCCTGATACTGGCCCCCTCTTCATAGGAGTCCTTTCAGCCCCTGCAGTACCTCTAACACCCTGGTCCCAGAGCCCTGATTCTCTCCCCTCACTTGTCCAGTGCAGACAAGTTTCTGGGGGGCCTGACCGCCCCCCCCCCGCTCAGTTTAAAGTCTTCTGGACAAAGCTCGCTAGAGCATTTCCGAAGGAGCTTTTCCTCATCCTTTTGAGGTGCAACCCTTCCCTTGTCAGAAGTCCATTGGCAAGAAACCAGGTGCGTGGTCAAGGAACCCAAAGTGTTCCTTCTGGCACCACACCCTAAGCCAGTCGTTCACCTCAGTGACCCTCCGTTCCCTGCCTGGCCCAAATCCCTGGACAGGTAAGATAGATGAAAAGGTCACTTGGGCCTTTAGGTCCATGAGTTTCTTCCCTAAGGTCTCAAAGTCCCTGGTGATCCCGCCCACACCCTGCCTGGCTATGTCATTTGTCCCCACATGGATCACCAGAAGTGGCTGGTGGCCTCTGGAGCAAACAAGATGCTCCACTCCATCCTTCACATGCTGGATGTGTGCACCCAGCAGGCAACAGACCTCCCTCGCCTCAGGGTCAGGGCAGCACACTGCCACCTCAGTGCCCCTTAGCAGAGTCCCCGACGATGATCACCCGCCACCATCTCTCCCTGTTGGTGGTAAGATTGTCTGAATATAGATGACATGAGCCATCTGTATCAACCCAAACTTCAGCAAGCTGTATGGAAAGAATGACAAGGGGTTTTTTTCCCTGTTCTTGCCAAGTTGTTTGTGACAGCCATTGTTACAGTCTGCCCCAAAAGTGCCTAAGCAACTTTCGTGATCTCTCTCTTTCTCTCTGTCTCTCTCTCACACACACATATCAAATCAAGCCTGAAATGCCTCATGATGGCAGTAAGGGCACACAGAAACATAATCCCTCCCAACATTGTGCTCAGGATACCTGCAAGGGGACTGGGAGTAGCGGAAAATCCTACACACAATGTCTCCGATCATCTGTGCATTTGGGTAGGCTGACATAACATGTCATTCAAACCCACCCACTGAATGGATGGTCAGTACAAAAACATTCTAAATAAACTAATACAGTACACTGATCAATCCACTACAATTCCTCCAAAACATAAACTACTGTAATTTTCCCATACAACAGATTCCTGAGAAATAAGAAAGTACAACAAATGAAATCTGCAGAAAAGCTTATGGCAGCCTCATAATCTCTCATACAGTCTAAATTATGGTGTAAATTTTGTGGCAATTTAAATTTTGCCTGTGCTTACAGCTTTTGATTAATAAATAATCTGTTTTAATAATGAAATTATATCTTGCATAACATATTAAAGTATTCCAGGTAGACAAATTAAATGTTCAAGAATTTCTTGTGGCTTAGAATTTACTTCATCTGAATATCAACTACTTTCTTTAACATACCTGTAGCATTGCTTCCTTTCCTGGAAAGTATCAATGGTTTTGCACGCTTGTTGGACAGAATCACAGGTTTCATTTCTTTAAGGATAGAAGAGGGACTGTTTTCCACAGAAGGCCTAGCAGTATCTGTAGTCTTCATAGGTTCTGTTTGCTGATACTGATTCTTTTTTTGTATTTCTACTGCTTTCTGTTTGGCATAAATGTATTCCAGCTTCTTCAAGACTACTTCCTGTGTCTTGCCTACAAAGGAAAATAGCATACAGTTTCCCTCATATTCAACATGCTTATCATCAACTCAGAACTCACCAATTAGTCAAAATGCAATATTTTACAGCATAAAGGTTATAGAATTTCTGACAAACCTGCCCCCTTCCTGTACATGGGGTCAAATTTCATTGGAGTAAGCCCTTACAAATGTTATTAATACTTTATACAGGGACAATAACACCATTCTTCTCAACCGTGTAGAATCATCCAAGTACCGCCCTCAAATCTTATTTTGGGAGTTCTCTTCAAGTATATACCTCTCCCTGTCCTGTCATTTCATCTCACCTGAAAGTGCAGAAACTTTACGAATCAAGGTGTCTTGTTTGCGCATTAACAAGTTCTTTTGACCTATGAGTTTATCTGCTTGATCTGTCAGCCCCTGAATCTCCTCAAAAGCCTGAAAAAGGGATAAAGAATCCATTTTTGATTCCAGCACAAAATATACTTACAAGTAAAAAAGACAACTTCTCTTCTTTCCTATTAATAAAACATTCTGAAAGAAATCAAGTTAAACATAAGCAAACTAAGTTTCACTCAGCAGGTATGAACTGAATGCTTTAGAGCATGGGTCCTCAAACTATGGGCTGCGGGACACATCTGGCCTGCCATGCCAATTTATCCAGCCCACCTCAGAGGATTTGGACTCCCCATGGCTGTGCTGGCTTGCTTGCTTGGAGATCGTTTTGGACTCGCTTGGAGAAAGCCACCTCCAAGCGAGCAAGCTGCTGCCTCGCCACACGCCCGCCCGCCGGCATCACTGCTGCCTTGCCACACGTCCGCCCGCCACTGTCTTTCAACTGACCCCCTGTTGAAAACGTCTGAGGATCCCTGCTTTAGAGGAAAAGACTGCACTATATTAAAAACATGAGCCATGCCCCAGGCAAAAACAATGGGAATGATGAACTGCATGCTTGCTAGGCTTTTTTAAAAAAAACCAAAGGATGCTAAGAATAAAGAACTGATCTATTCAATTTGAGCAAAAATGGATCTCTGATTAATTGGGTTTTTTTGGTAAAGGTTATGTGCATTTTACTAGAACTAATTACAATGCTCAAATGTGGATAGCTGTGATCTTAACAGGGGCATTCAACTTCACCTTTCCCTATGAAAAAGAAGACAGAGCCTCTATGATGGTTCCTGCTGTGTCATGTAAATGCATCAAATAAAAACAAAAAAAGTGTATTATCTTCAGAATCATCACCTTTGCTCTAAAATTAAATTTATGTAAATTTAAATTACTAATAAATCAACTGGTGGACAAAACCTGATACATTAATAATTATATTTCAACAAGTAACTATCTTTGTCATAAATTTATTATTAATAACTGCAAGATATCCCACCATTCTTTTCTGTCATAATTTATCTTACAACCTCTTTGCAAATGATGTTAAATTATACAATACTGACTTGTTTGAGGATAAAGCACTTGGAAACTTTGGGGAGAGTGTGTAATGGCAGAGTTGCTTTCAGTTTTTCAAAAAGTCCCCTCATTTCTTTACGACGGCGACGTTCATTTGCTGTATGTGTTTGCCGGTAGTTAGCAAAGGCTTCTTCCTCATTCTTTGGCTTTTTGTTTGAGGACTCAGATTGCTAAGAAAAGAAAAGATCTGCTTTTGTGCACTATTTAAAACAAAAACATGCAACCAAGCAGTCGCCTTCATGATTATAGCAACAGACCTATGTTTACCCATCCTTCATGATTATAACAACAGACCTGTGTTTACCCATGGCTCAGCTTTTCAAGAAAACCAGGTAGTAGTCATTAAGGGAGAAGTGGCTGCCTGACTTCAGAGGAGCTAGAAGGGCAATCAGGGATTTAAGCATGAACCAGGACAAAAGACACAATTCAGAATAATGAGACTTAGCACAAGACTTTGACACCACCACATATGAGCAAATCCTCAGTTGTGGTAATCATCCTCTGCTGCATACTACCAAGTATACAATAATGGAAAGTGAATACATTTGCAAGCCATTTGGCCTTGGCGGGATCTTTCTTCTCATCTGCTGAGCTAGAGAGCATTCATCAGTGCAACACAGGAGAGACTGGTAGGAGAAGAGCCTGGTGCTAGAAGAGCCAACCATGGGGACTCTCTCCTGTTCCTATCCGACAGTTATTTCACAGCCCCTAGGCTGACTATGTCACTTATGGCCCATACTGCAAGTTAGCTACTTATAATTTGGGGCATAAAACTCGTATCCCCTTCTAGTGCTCTTCTGATTTGTTTCTCTTCCTTTCACCACTCAGGTTCCACATTACTGGTTGTTACTAGCACAGAACAAAGGTATGTCTTATAAAATACTATAGAGAAAATGAGAGCATGACATGGCCTTTTCATATTAGATAGCATCCAATGTTATGTCTTCTCCTGCCTTCAGAGACACTCAAGTACCTCTTTGGACTGATATACATTACAAAGAAAAGAAGAATAAGAATGAACAGGTTTCTACCTTAGCAGTCTTGGTCACTGTCTTATTAGAATTGTCACAAACATGATTCCTGAAGGATAAAAATGAATTATTTGATTTACATTTGATTTACATCTCAATTAGTCTATTGCGAAATTATCCCAAGTATGCCTTCTTCCCCAGTTCAACTGTACTGCCTTGGAGCAGGAACGAGAACAGTGTGTGTGTATATCTGGCACCTTGGGCACTTGAGGCAGGCCACCCAGACAGCTTCTGAGAGCCACAAGTTGCCCAGCCCTTTTCTACAGACAGCAGTGGTATCAAACAAGGCTGCAGTCTATCATATAAGAAGCATCAGTGGAAGTTATGAATTTCAATGTGTGATTATCTTTTTCCAAACCAGACTGTTAGTGCATCGATCCCATCCGATGAGGTGACAAAAGAAAGTGAGGCAAAGGTATGTAGTTTTATCCACAAGAAGTTATAAGTGTATAAGCAGTGCTTTTTTTTTTTTGTCATACAACGCACCGGAATGGAGTTCCGGCACCGTTTTTCAACAAATTTTCTGTTTTAAAAGTAAACAGTTTTAAAAGTACTTTTGAAAATTTGATGTTTGGTCCACGTGGATTTGAATTGCCCTGTCGAGCGTAGCAGGTCGGTGGCAAAATCATTAAAACGGTGCATGCGGGCCGCTTGTGTGTCGAATCCAATGCATGCGTACTCTGTCCGTGCTGGTTGTGATGGTGCTGCTCGGCTTGTGGTGCTGCTCGGCTTGCGATTGGTCGTGTGGTCGCGCGCTGAGTGCTTACTGCGGGCGGCGACCGTTATGTTTCGTTACACAACTGACATGTGTGGGTGTGCATACAGTGATTGACTACGTGCGAAAGATAAATAATTTCATGAGTTCCAGCATCTTTTTTCTTACAAAAAAAGCACTGTGTATAAGTATATAAATTATACTGCTAGGCTTACACCATCAACTATCCATTCAACAGGTTAAAAGAATCCTCTAAAGCAGCTATGTATGCAGTCTCAAGTACAGGATCTTTTCCTAGCAATCACCTTTGTATGTGAAAGCACGTTTTGCAAATTAAGTGCTTGTGCTCAGCTAGCGCAAGTTAGAAAAGGCAGGGGGAACCTCTGATCAGTGGAGATTCCTCATGGGCCCATAAATGCAAAAAGCATTATCTGCAATCAGCAGAAGAAAAATGAGGAGAATACATATGGGGATGACTCTTCCCCTATCCCCTCTTCTCCAGTCAAACTGCACTTCTGAATCTGTTGAACAACTGGAAGCCCATGGAACCATCCCCATGTGTCATCTTCCCCAACTCAACTATGCTTCCAATGCAAACAGGACTGGAGGGAGGAAGAGATTCCCCCTCCCCAACCGATCTCATCCCTACATGCATATGGCCATGGCCTATCTACCAGCATTGCCTGCAGCTGCTGGAGTAACCCCAAACAGTAGCTAACTCTAAAAAGAAGTTATTTTCTATTTTTTGTAATATTTGTTGATATTAGACAGCAATTAGATATTAATGAAATCTAATTGCTGTCTAAGCAGAAAGAGATACCTGCTATGCAAACCAAGAAGAAAGTTCAAATTCTAGTCTATAAGTCAGGATTGTAGTTAGAAATTAAGTCACTGTTTTTCATTGTGGCCTCTGTGCATCACATATTATGAGTGGTGCGCCTGCGCAGTGCCTGTTGCCAGGAAGATTAAGCAGCTTTAACAGTTTTCAGCGGGAACTCCGCATGCTCCCCCTGTAGTATAAATGGGCGGTGCTCACCATTTCCCGTCTTTTTGTGACTACTGTTCACTGTGCCTTGAGCCTTTTGCTTGACTCTCATAGCTATATTCTGATAAAGTTGTACTGTTATTCTCTTGACTTTACAGCCCTTTTCTATTCCAAGCTATATCCCATCCAATCCCCCCGTTTACATTGTTTTCTCCTCCCTTCCCCCTTTCCCTTCCCCCCACCAAAATAAAAATATAAAAAACCCCTTCTATTGTTGTTGTTCTTCTTGTCAATTCTTCTGCTGTTCACTGTTTTTTCCTCTTTCTTCGATGGTGCAGCGCGCAGTTTCTGCAAGTGTTCACAGTGTGGGGCTAAAATGTCTCCCGCTGACCCACATGACTTGTGCCTTCTATGCTTGGGAGAGGATCACAGGACTGGTAAGTGCAGCCATTGCCAGTCCTTTATCAGACAGGCCCGCAAGAACCGGGAAAACCATCTGCGGAAGATGCTCTGGGACCAGGCTTTGGTTGCCATAAAAATGGTCTCAGCAGAGATCCCTGCAGCCAGTCCATCTAAGGCTGCTCCTCCTCAACCATCTGAGGGAAACACAACATCCAAGGAGGGAAAGCGCTCCCCTCACTCTCCTCACTGCAAGCAGAAGGAGAAGGGAAGCAAGTCGGTCCACCAAGTGTACAAAAGGCCTAAGAAGGACAAGCCTGACAAGGCGAAGCACAGGCACAAGAACCATCCCAAAGTGCCTCACTCGGAATCGGTGTCCACTCCACCTTTGGTACCAATCGCCACCTCAATCCCGGCTTCGATTGAACCTACCATTCAGTTGGTCATGCAAGTGACTCCACTGAGGTCTCCACCACGGATCGTCATCTAGTCTTGAATGTTCCGACCCTGTAGCTAGAGGGTCTATGTTGGATGGCAAAATCTGAGACTCTCCACCTTGGTCGCACACTGACCTGCCACCTGTCTGTTCCCCGACACCGATGCCAACATCTCCGGAAGGATCTCTGAGGGCTCCTCAACTCCCAGCCTCCCTCCCACAGCAACAGGTCCCAGTTTAGCCTTCCAAATACTGGGTCTCTTTACCATACGGGGAGTTCAATCCGTCTTGGTCCTATCCATGGGACTATTATCCTCCCTTTGGTTATTACCCGAGACCTCCAATCCGTCCTCATCATTCCTCATCATTATCAAGATAACATCTATGACATTCCACCCCTCATTCAGTGTCGAGGGAAGCGCCATTGACCTCTGCGGCTGCTCTTTCCCGACCTCTGCCTTCTCCTGTTGGGTCTTCCTCAAGTCCTCTGTACCACTCGGATTCCGATTCAGAAGACTCTCAACAGGCGTCGACATTGCCAGATGCCATGATCTCAACACAAGGTCCGGGCTCTCCTGAAGATTCGCACGGCAACTTCGCAGAGCTGCTCTCTAGGATGACAAAGTAGTTGGAGATCGATGTCCGACATCGCATCAACCCAAATCAAGATAACATCTATGACATCGTCAGAAAGGACTCATCCTCCATCGCTCTGCCATTCATTACAACTGAGGCAAGTGATGATGGATACATAGCAGTTCCCCAGTCAGCCGCACACAATGTCCAGGCAACTCGAGTCAATGTACAAGGTTCAGGAACAAGGCATCGCATTCCTTCTTAAACATCCCAAGCCAAATTCAATTGTCATTGAGTCCCCCCAGGGTCAACAGAACAAAGAGCACTTGACTCCGATGGACAAGGAAGGCAGAAAGATCGACGTGATGTCTTGTCGAATCTACGCTGCTATGGGACTCAGGTCTTTTTATCTCCAATTATGAAGCCACCATGGTGAGGTGCTTCTGGATATTTCCTCATGCAGAAGATTGAGTCCCTTACCTCTAATCTCCCAGAGCAGCATAGGGAGCTTGCCCGCATGTTCACCTGCGAGGCTATGCAGCTTTCCATCCAGCAACTCAATACGGCGAGGCTTCATGTCAATTGCGACTTTAGGGCTCTTGTTGGTGCCGTCATCCTTCGTCGCCACAACCTACCAGATGAAACTAAGTGACGCATGGAGAATATGCCCTTCAATAGCTCCGGGATCTTCCATGTTAAACTGACAACAAGCTGGAGAATATTCACAAGGTTCATCTTACAGCTCGCCATATGGAGACGCCGTCACAGCACTGACATAAGTGGCCATGGCCTCACTCTCAGTACTGCTACCAACCTTACCAACAGTATGCGGGATGCCAAAAATTCCAACAGCATCAATAAAGGAACCAAAGGCAGAATGCACCACAGTACCAACAAGCTTGTTGCCATCCCCACACCAACAAATGCCAGCATTGATGGGATGCATGAACCTCTCCTTGATCCTCCAACCTACCTTCCCCTCTTCCTTTTAGGGATCAGCTGCAAGGCCAACTCCCCATTTGGGAGTCCATCACATGTGATAAGTGGGTACTTACCATCATAGAGCATGGGGACAAAATCAAGTTTGACACTGTGTCACCTCCTGGACCGATCCGATATAAGGCTGCCTCTCCGGGTCCTTCTGGATGAAGTTTCCCAGCTACTTCATAAAGGAGCGATTTGAAAACTGCACTGCTCGGAAGACCCGCACAGTTTCTACTCCACATACTTTACGGTACCGAAAAGGGATGGTGGTCAATATTGGACTTACGTGGCATTAAAAAATACATCAAAACCAAAAAATTCCTAATGACCACACTCCACAATATCCTTCTGTTGCTCAGGAAGGAGGATTAGTTCGCATCCTTAGACTTGAAGGAAGTTTATTTCCACATAAGCATACATCCTGCTCACAGGCGTCTCCTCCGGTTCACTGTCGGTACCGACATATTTGAATACAATGTACTCCCCTTCGGTCTTGCCACTGCTCCAAGAGTTTTCACCAAAAGTATGGCTCCAGTATGCGCCCATCTTCGGGTATTCATATTTACCATTACCTCAATGACTGGCTTATCCTCTCCTCTTCTAGGGATGGCCTTCTAGCCTCCATTGATACAACCTGCTCCCTCCTTTACCAACTTGGACTGTACATTAATGTTGAAACATCATGCCTCGTTTCTTCCCAGGTCATCAACTTCATCAGAGCTCGTCTTGACTCACTACGCACCCGAGCCTTACTTCCTCGTGACCGAAAAGACAGATTACTTATGTCTATCCAACAGATTACTGCCCAACAGACTGTTGCAGAGTTATCCATACAGAAACTGCTTGGAGATATGGCATCCACAGTTTCTGTAGTACCAAACGCCGGACTGTGGATGAGACCCTTACAACTTTGGTTCAACCGCACCTTCCATCCACAACGAGATTGACTGCACCGACTACCTCAGCCACCTCTCTCGGTTCTTCACACCCCGTCTTGGTGGATGATAGATACCAACCTCTCTTCTAGAGTCCCATTCCATCTGCCACAGCCGGCTCTAACTGATGCTTCCCTGACTGGTTGGGGAGCCCACTGCACGACCTTCCGGACACAGGGTACCTGGCGTGGCCATGAGACCCCCAGACATATCAACTAACTGGAACTACTGGCGGTCTTCAAAGCCCTCTGTTCCTTCGAGAGCATCTTTCGAGGCTGCACTGTACAGAATGCATCGGATAATATTGTGACTGTGTTCTATATAAATAAGCAAGGTGGTACGAGGTCAGCCCCCATGGCTCATCTTGTTCTCTGCCTCTGGAACTGGTGCATTGCCCACGAGATCACTCCCCTAGCCATTCATCTCACTGGGACCAACACCAAAGAAGCCGACTCTCTCAGTAGACAATGTCAACGACACACAAGTGGGAACTAGACCATCAAGTTTGTCCACACCTTTTTCACCTCTGGGACCACCGGACATAGACTTGTTTGCAACTCATGACAACTCTGTTTGCATGACGTACTGCTTCCGAGTGGGCACTGGCCCAAATTTGATCAGAGATGCACTAATGATTCCTTGGACAAACAGACTCTTCTACGGCTTTGCACCGACACCATTGATAAGAAGGACACTAGCCAAAAACAGCCAAGACAATGCTCGTGGGATTCTCATAACTCCCTGGTGGCCCTGACAGTCATGGCTTCCCACTCTTCTTCACCTTTCCAACAACTTTCTTCGCCTTCCTTGGATTCCACATCTCCTTACTCAACAACATTCAACATCCAGATCTACACTCTCTCAACCTCATGGCCTGGCTCATTCATTGACTTTCCCTTCTCCATCGGTACCAACATCGTTGGAATCGACACATACAACATCTCTAACATTGCTTTCTGCTACATTTCAACTCCCTGATACAGCACTGCCATCAGTATCGACATCGGTACCAACACCTTCGCTGAATCTTACCAATCTTCACCCTGACATACAGTTCATTCTCCAGTTTGCACTATGACTGGCTATGCAGCGATCCTATAATGCTAAATGGAAGCGCTTCACCTTATTTGCTACAGTGAACAACTTTGCACCTCAGTCTGCTACTACTAGGCTGTGCAGTTCTATCCTCCGTTCTTCAGTGACAACAACGTCCTGCCTCCAGGTGTGGTAAGCTTACTAATCACCCATAATGTGTGATGCACAGAGGCCACGAAGAAAGGCAGGTTGCTTACCTGTAACTATCATTCTTCAAGTGGCCATCTGTACATTCACACAACCCACCCACCAGCCCCACTTGGTGACGGTGACTGGGTTTACAAAATGACCTTATTTGTTATACATCTGATTTAGATAGCTGTATACACATGTCCACATATGTGTATAACTATCCTGATGCTTCTGACAGCTAATTTCTGTCTTTGATACTTCCTATCGAATTCAATTTTACTCATATCCACCTGGAGGCGAATGGGCGGTCTTCAGTAGACTGGGGAAATGGCAGGCACTCCACCCATTTATACCACGGAGGGAGGGTGCGGAATTCCTGCTGAAAACTGTTAAAGCTGTTGAATCTTCCCGGCAACAGGCACTGCACAGGCACAGCACCCATAATGTATGAATGCACAGATGGTCACTTGAAGAACGACGGTTACAGGTAAGCAACCTGCTTATCAACATGTAGTGTTGATATGATTCTAAACTGTGATCTAACTAACTGAAAATACTGTATAATAAGTCACATGTAAACCCTGGTTTGTAAATCCTGGTTGAATCCACCATAAAATAGAAGCCTTTGCTTGTTTTGCTTTACGTCTACCAGACTGACAGAAAAAAATTGTACTTAAAGAAAACATACTTACAATTCTTTAGATAGCAAGGCATGGGTAGCTGTAGCCTTTAGGCGAGCAATATTTATTTTTTCTGAAAGTTCTTCCACAGTCTCTATGTCTACATTTTCCTCTGCTTCACTGGATTCACTTTCATTCTGAAACACAATAACAGGGCAGTGAAGTATCTGTAGAGAGGTTCAAGTAAGAAAATTTAAAAAACAAACTAGAATAAAAAGATAAGGCTGCCCCCAACCCATAACAAATGTATATTCTTGAGAAACTATAATATCTCAGCAAAACTTCTCCTATTGCATATACCAAACTGTGCAGACTGAGTGTCAATAGGCTTTTAAACAAGACAGAAAATATATTGATACCAACATAATTATATTTTCAACCATTGAAAATAGTTTCTTCACTTCTAGAAAGCAGAAACAGAAAACTACCATAGTTTAGCTATGCAGCTGGAAGCATACTGCCAATATCACAAGCAAAGACTCTTTAATTTTAGGAGTGATATTTTTAGCTGTGGCCCAACACAAGGTTGCAATACAGAATTTTCAAATGCCTTAATTAATTAATTAATTAATATAGCCAAAGCTGTATGGGCAGTTTATAACATTTCATAAATATACAATAAAATATCATAAATCTTTTCAAAATGTAAGCATTTTAAAACAAAAAAATTAAGAACAGTGAAAACAGCATACAATTTATGGGTAGCCCCATAAAAGCACCTGTGATGAGCCCTTACATATCCAAGTATATCTTCAAAAGCCTTGTCATAAAGGGCAATCATAACCTGGTCTTGAAAAGATGACAAGGTTGGCATTTGGGGAGTCCCAGTGGAAAGGGGCACCACAGAGAAAGCCCACACTCTTGTTGCTGCCCTCCAATACGCCATTAGAAATGGCACTCTGAGGAAAGCCCTGGAATGGCATGTGGCTGGGAGAGGCACTTTTGTCAAGTAATTTGGACTCAAGGACTGATAGGTTAAAAACCAGTACCTTGGTTTGGGCACACAGATAAAAGCATTAGTGGGTCAGAATTGGTCTTATATGTTCAGAACTGTGGGTCTCAGTCATTAATCTGGCTGCCACATTCTGTACAAGCTGAAGCTTTTAAATAGTCTTCACGAGCAGCCACTTGTACTAATCTAGAGATTACCAGAGCACAGGTTACTGAAACCAGTCTAATGTCCAAATAAGGGTGTACCTGGGCCACCAATCAAATCTGATAGAAAGCACTCTGTCACTGAAGCAACCTGCACCTCAAGTGACAAAAATGAAACAAGGAGAGCCCCCACCCTATGAGCCTGTTCCTCCAAGGGGAGTGTAATCGTATCCAAAACATGTTGAAAACCCTCCACCTGTTCAGTGGAGCCACCCACTAACAGCACCTCAGTCTTGTCTGGATTGAGCTTCAGTTTGTTAGCTCTCATCCAGTCCATGGTTGCAGCCAGGCACTGCTTTAGCACATCCACAGTTACACTTGCTGAAGACGGAAAGGAGAAACAGAGCTGCATGTCATCAGCAGATTGCATCATAATCCAAAATTCTGGATGATCCCACTCAGCAACTTAATGTAGATGTTAAACAGCATGGGGGATACAACAGATCTCTGAGGAACTCCATGCTGGAGAATCCATGGGATTGAACCTTTTCCTCCAAGCACTACCTTCTGGAGATTGCCCTCCAAGTAGAACCAGAACCACTGCAACACAGTATTCCCCAGAGAGTTAGCTCAGAAGGATACTTTGGTTAATTTATCTACAAACTTCTAAGTGGTTTTCTCATACATTTTACTTTTTACTTTTATATTTAAATAATTGCTAGGAACAAAGAACTATCACAGTATAGCTATTTAGTTGGGAACATACTGCCAGTACCACAAGCCCAGCCTCTTAATTTTAAAAGCTATTTTTAGCTGTGGCTGGTAAAGAGATCAAGGAGTATCAAGTGGGCCATGCTTGCCCCGTTTCTCTCCCAAGACAGGTCATCATACAGGATGATTAAAGCTGTTTTCATGTCAAAACCTGGCCTGAACCTTGATTGAAACAGCTTCATCCAAGAATGGCTGGAGTTGTTTGGCAACCACACACTCAAGAACCCTGTCCTGGAAAGGTACATTTGCTATCAGCCTAAAGCTATTAAAATCTTCTGGGTTGAGGGGGGATTTTTTTTAGAAGAGGTCTCAGTGCTGTCTTTCACAAAGCATGAGACTTCTCCTCTTCACAAGGAGGCATTAATCACCTCCTTGGACCAGCCAGTTGTTCCTTTCTTGCTGGCATTTATAAACCATGCACCCTGTCAACAGCCTTAAACTGCACCAGTTGAAAATCATCCAAGAAAACTGAACCAGGCTGTGCTCTGGTTACCACACCTGATTTGGCTGCTGTAAGTGGATTCTAAATCCTTGGCGATACAAGAAATTTTGTCCTGGAAATAACCAGCAATTTTATCACAATGGGCATCAGATGGGTCTAAGATGTCTTTGGGGCCAGCATGCAATAGTCCCTGAATGACTGTGACAGCTCAGCTAGACCGCAAATACAAGATTGAATAGATACAGTGAGATGTTGCTTCTTTGCCACCCTTGCTGCTTCTAAATATACCTGATTGTAGTCACAAAGCAGTGTTCAACTGCATTAATTAGGAGGTTTCCTGCATCTGCTTTCAAACCATCCTCTTTCATGTTCCCAGCTCTGGGGTATACCACACAGTTGTACAAGCTCCATGAAAAAGAGGGTACTCAGAAGCAAACACGTCAACAGTCCAGGACATCTGCATATTCCACAGCTTCACTGAGGCTTCAGCAGGAGCACTAGCCACATCAGCTGAAGAGTTCCCAAAGCCCTCTGGATATCATCTGGGTCCAATGGGAATGGACCATTTTAACACCTACCTAACCCTGTTAGGAAAACATCACTGTCAGTCTGAGTCTTAGCAGCTAAGGATATGTTCATGACAAAGGGGTTAGATCAAAGTCCTCCATACTCAGACAGAACACCATCATGTCTGGCTAAAAAAAAACCAAACAAAAACAAAACCAACAACCCTCTAGTGTGTATTCCACTACATGTGTTGGGGCAAAGATATGTTGGGACAGTCCCATGGTTGTTGTGAACACCATAAAATTCTCTGCTACCCCAGAAATGATGCCCCCAGTCTCAATATCCAATTTCTGAAAGCCATGTTGACTAAGCAATTTGAGATTTTTTTCACTGCTGGGCATAACTTAATAGATCTATTATTCATCAAAATCATTTCACCATGAACAGTATTTGTAATTTAAAGACATGGATACCCACCAGTGTTTCAACATTCACTATATCTTCACTTTGATAGCCAGATACTTCATCTACAATCTCATCTGCAGAATCATATATTTTTTCATCTTTTTCTGTATCATCCATAGTAATATCAATAATGGGAAGAGAATCCTTTCTGCAATGTTTTTTTTGTGTATTCTGTTCTGCACATTCAGTCAATTTCTCCACATGATCATCATTATACATGCCAATTTTGTTGCTGAAAGCAACTGCCTGCCTGGATATTTTGCTCCAAGTTCTGCTGACATGAACAGGTTTGTCTTTAACAGGTTGAATCTCTTCCTGAATATCAGTAGCACTCTTTTTATGGCCAGAAGTGTTAGTATTCTCCAGGAAACCAGTATTTCTTGAACATTCTTGAACACTATCCAAATATTTGTCTCCTTGTCCTTTTGCACTGGTGATCTTAGGCTTTCCTCTCACTCCTTCTCTATTCTCTGTTGCCGCAGAGTCACTCATTTCCTTCATCTTTCTCCTTAGCAGTCCAGAATCTTGGTTTTCGCATATCCTCAGGGAACATGTAGTCTTTTTTTGAAGTTTTTCAGTAGAATTCATGTGCACTTGGTAATTACCCATTGATTTCCAGGACTCCTCAGTAATAATGCCCTCTTCTCTTTCTAACTGAGTCTCTTCAGCTTCTTTTGAATGAGCAGCTACACTTTGCATTTGGTCAGAGTGTGTTTGCTTTTCTTGTGAGTTTTTCAACTGTGTGACTTTCTGCTCTTGAGCACAAACTGTGGTTTTACTGCCCCTCTCAGGAATAGTCTCAGAACTATAAGGAATTTTATCTAGGGTATCTTCAGGATGTTTAACATGCAGTTTTCCCTTAACCATCACTTCGTTTTCCCCACATGTTTGTTTCTTACTGATGGAGGAGTGGTCCAAGCATACATCAGGCTCCAATGTGGGGGTATCAATTGATAATTGAGCTAAGGTATCATTCTCAGTATTCCTGTCACATGTAATCTCTTTAGAGCAGCAGTCTGGTTGGCTTGCTGGTGTTTTATTTTCTTCCAACTTGGGATCACACAATTCAACTTCTGATGCCATGACTTTTACTGTTTGTGAGCATGTTGTCTTTTCTTCTAGTGTAACTGCATTGACTTCATTTTTCTTACACATATTCCTAACATCAAGGGATGCTACATCTTTCTCAGTAGAACTTGAAACAGCCTTCTCCCCTGGAAAGTGAAGCAAGGCAAAACTGCCGGAATGAAGTGATACCAGATTATCTACATTATTTGATTGCCCACTGGAGCTGAATGTAATTTTAGGATTAGAACTTATTTGAGTAGCAATACTTTTTATTCCTGCAGGACAAATTCTTAGAGTCAATGTGCCAGTTTGGGAGACAGGAACAGGTGCTGGAGAGATGACAGGACCTGCTTGAGCAGCTGAAATAGGAAGTGCAGACACAGACCTAATTGTCTGCAGGGTCCAGCTTGTAGAAGGGGAAGTGTTAGGAGGTGTGGGCAAAGCAGAAGAGGCCATAGGTGACACCAAAGAACTATCAGCAGTACAGGGCATAGGCAAACTTGAAGGGATTTCACAGGTAGCAGGCACAGTTGTAACAGAAGAAGTAATAGGTAACACTAAAGGAACTTCAGCAGGAACTTCAGTGACAGGAGGCATAAGCACAGTGGGAGGCAACGCCAAAGAAGCATTTGTCTTCAACATTGGAGAAACTTCAGCAGCATGGGGCACAGCAGATGGGGGTGTGGGCAGGAAAGGCATGTTTGAAGTAGGGGACATGGACAAAACTGAAGGACCTTCAGCAGCATGGGGCATAGGCATAGCAGATGGGGGTGTGGACAATAAAGGCATGTTTGAAGTAGGGGACATGGACAAAACTGAAGGACCTTCAGCAGCAGGAGGTGTGGACACAATAGTAGCGGGGACAGACAACACGAAAGTGGCCTCAGTGGTAGGGGTTGTTGTGGTGCTTGAGGTCCCAGACAAGACGGAAGTAGCGTCTGTGGTCGGGGATGCAGACAAAGCAGGAGGAGTCATGGATAGAACTGAAGAAATTGTGGTAGTTGGAGTCACAGGTGAAACCACAGAAGACTGACATACAGATGTCTCAGGAGCCTTAGACGGTCCAGGCAACCGGATTCCTACAACAGATCCTGCAATAAAGGAAGCAGTTAAATTACTTCACTGATCAGTTTTTATCCACCTTATACTGAGCATGCTTTGTCAAACCTGTGACAGAGACACAGGGAAAGTAAAAGTATTCTTTTATAATGAACAGTACTAGATATGGGTTGCTTTCTTGTTTCTCAAAAATACTGATTGCACAGTCTGGGGGAACTTGATGCAGAAACCAAGGAATAAGTGAGATATTATGAAAAGTAAATAGAGTCTACTGGAAAAAAAGACAGATACATTATTGCTCAAACTAAATTCTTCTGGTAAGAAGAACTAATGAAAAGAAGAAACCGATGCTAGAAAACTACTGCCCAGCCTCTTGAATGTGTGCAATAGGATCTGAAAGTGTTCCAGCATGCGTGCACACACAGCGTATTAATTTCAATGAACACCGAAGTAAAAAATACCTTTAAAAATACCTTAAACCTCATTTGTGAAACGACGAGCAAATAAGTATATAAATAAGTCATATAAAAAGCCATAATTCCCATAATAAATATACATCTCAATATTTGACTTTGGTAAGCTTATAAGAAATTAAATTGTAGACTTTATGTATTGAGCACATCAAATAATTGTTAGTCCAGAATGCATTAAAAATAGAACCATTCTATATACATGATTTTCTTACTATGTCTCTCCTGGGTCCTCATTCCCAGTAATTTCTGTTTCTTACTAAAATAGTCAATGTAGGGTTTTATCCTATGCATGTTTAGACAGAAAAATGTCCTACAAGTCCCACTATTTGACAGCCAGCCACCATAGTAACTCCAACATTCTATTCTTGGTGAAAGAAACTAAAATTTCAGAACACCCTTCTGAAGAAGGCATCCCAGGCACCTACTGCAATATCTTTAAGGAAACAATCCTATGCAAATTTAGAATGTAAGTCCTATAATTCCCAGCATTCTCCGGATGTCCATGCTGGCTAGAGGATACTGGGAGTTCCACGGGTTCCCCCCACCGCCAAGCTAAACATGCAAAGGATTGTGCTTTAAAATGGTCGAGATCTAGCATTGAATTTTCCCAAGGTTTTTATAAACTATTTTGTTGTATCACATCCCATATTTATTTATTACTCAGACGTTATGTTGCATTTTTAATACTCCATTTGTGAACTACACCAGAAACATTTTATGTGAAGTATGGGCATATAAATTGAAAATTACTACAAATAGTAAATCTTAAATAGTAAATAGTAAAAAAGTACACCATTTAGAACATACTCCATTTCTTATAATATATACTTGCTCAGTCTTAGAAAATAACAAATTTATTATTTACCTGGATTACGGAACATTACAGATGGCAAACTGGGCTGAGGTCCTGCAGGCTGAAGCTGATGCAAAGGAACAAGTTGGATAATCTGTCCATTGGGATGTCGATAGAGGTTCACACCACCAGGATTCCTTAGAGGCTGCAATATCATTCTCTTCCCCTGAGCAAGTTGCATATTTTGTGGAGGTCGCAAAGTAGGAGAACCTTGATGTACTGGAATCAAAAGCAGTCGTGGTCCCATACGTTTCTCTGCTCCGGGAGGCAACCCTGGAGGACTTGTAGTGCCTGTAGTATCAGGAAAGAACACTCTTCCTAACCAAGCCTTATCTATACAGCAAGATTTACTGACCATTTTATAAAACAACAAATGGAAGAACACTTTATAACAGATCCAAAGCTCTTCTTGTTCTGACATTCAGTTTCCAACAATGGCTTCTGTAAAGCTTAAAAGTGTGGCCTAAAGGGAACAAGTATCTGCTTTTCCTAACCAGCAACTGTAGAGTCAATTGACATCCCAATTTTGAAAGTAAAAACACGGCTTAACAAAATACAAATTGATTTCAAATCAACTGCCAAGTTCAAAACATTCCCAGGTAATTGTGGAAGGTATCCCATTGACCTCTGCAGTCAATGGAACAGTTTTCATCAGTAGAATGCGGAGGAGGCGATTCTCTTTCCATTTATGTGTTTCCTTCAAAATCTATTCAGAGGCTGGATGTCCCTCTGAGGCAGATTTAGGAATCACAAGGGGATGGAAGAAAAGAAATTTTTACAGCACAAGTGATGTCTGCCTAAATGATATTGAATTTCATACTTTCTCTATACACAAAATAATTTATGCTAATATACTCAAGTAGGAACAATAACCCTGTGGCACTCTAGATGTTACTGGGCCCTAGCCCCATCAACCTTAGCCATAATGGCCAAAAACTGAGGATGATGGGAGATGGAACCCAACATCTGGATTAAAACCTTTTTTCTAAACCAGAGGCAAATATGAGAGAACAAAAAATTCCCAAACTCACCTTAGTTTTCAAAAAATCACTTTCAAGCTTATTTTGGCTCACTTCCCCCAACCCTACATTTAGATTAGGATGGTAACAGGGCAAAAGATTATAGCCCCTCTCCCCTCAAATCATGATCCCATCTGACCTATCTCCTTTTGCCTGCAATATATATGTTTGTTCTTTTTAAATGACCAGGACAGGGTAATGATATACGTCACTATTACAGAACAGTGTAAAGTCAATATCTAGTCTGGTCCTAAGCAAGAGTCTCCTACTGAGGCCCTGTGATTTTTTAAATGCCTGTTAACTACTCCTCTCATACACAATGAACTGGCTAGACTGACAGCACTTGGGACAGCTACAAATTAGCGATTGTGGCAAGAACTGGCCATCCATGGGGATCTTACCTGATTTCTGATGTGATAATGGACTTTTTGGAATTCCTGAGGCTCCAGAACCAACACAGCCGATTGATGAAGACAAGGTGGTTGCTGTGGCTGTAGATGCAGTTGTGCTTAAGAGAGTAGACTGAGATGTTGTAGCAATTGGAGTTGATGTGGCTCCTGCAGACTTAGCAAAAGCAGTGGTTGCAGCTGGTGTAACTATTCCAGTTGTTTTAGTTATTTTAACAGTAGCTGTGGTGGCAGTAGTGGTTGAGACTGTAGCGTTTTCTGCTTTTCCAGCAGCATTTGCTGTAGTGGTGCCAGAAGGGTTGCCAGATGTGCTACACTGCACAGGACGAGTTGTTACAGGAAGTGATGCCACAGTATTAGTAGCAGCTACAGTAGTAATAACTGTAGCTGTCCCAGAAGAGAGTGGTGTAGATTTGACATTAAAGTTCTGTGGACCTGTCAGAGGTTGGGGTGTTCTAACTCCAGGAACCTTTTGTTGTACAGTCCCAACTGCAGTCATAACCAACTGAGAGGTCATACCATCCAGTACTGGTTGAGCAACTGAAAAAAATCAGAGTCCAAAAATATTAATAGTTCTTGTTCAAGATCTCACTTTCCTATTTAATAGTTGTCTTAACTTCTAATGTTTATAGATGGCATGGACCCAAATAAATCTCTACATTAGTTGTCTATAATACAGAGGGACAAGCCAAAGGAACCAAGAAGCTAGATTCATGCCAACACAACAAGAGAAAAAACCAGACCATATATTTCTATCAATATGGATGGCATTTGCTTTCCGCATCTTCTGCCTGACTTTAGTGTGTTTGACTAGCAATACATTAGGGGAAGTAGGGAGTGGGAGAGGGGACATAAAGGATCGCTACAGGTCAGGGGAAGCATGACATTAGACACAACTGGATATTTATTATGTTTATTTCCCACCTTTTTCTGCAAGGAACCTAGGGCAGCTTACAGAACCCTCCTCTCCATTTTACCCTCACAAGAGCCCTGTAAGGTAAGTTGGGTTGGGAGGCAGCACAAGAAAAAATATAGAACTATTCCAAGTCCAAGCTCTGAAGTCCTGTCAGCTCAGAGCTGGGAGTCCAAATGCCAAGACCCCACCCTACTCTCTTCACAGCTAGTGTAGAAAGAATCATGTTGGCTTGCCTCCCGCTCCCCCGCCAAGGTTATAAATACAGGGAGGGAGGGAGGGTTGTGAGCTGGGCGTCCCTTCCCAGGGCCAGTGGAGACTGGCATGGTGGTGGGGAATGTGTAGTTGTAGGCCTCTTTGTTACAACAATTATGTTATCAGAGTGTGAGCACTAAGCTTGTTCCGGTTCAGCCAACTCCCCATCATCTCCCCAAGTTTTAATGGTAAGGAGTTGCATGTATGGCTGCTGACACAGAAAATGCCCTCTCGTATGTTGCTACAACCATACTTCAGAAGGCCTTGGTGAATACAAGTAGCCTGGCTCAGCAGATCTTCAGGAATGGACAGATTCACATGGGAAGAAATAGTCCAAGTAATTTGATCCCAAGCTGTATCATGCCATCTGACTGATAAATCGTGGTAAAGCCATCTTCCTAAATTGTAGTTTGAAGTTGCAGGGATGACAGGCACAATTGCGGTCGTGCTGGGGCGGGGGGGGGGGCGGGAACATGTCTGTGCTCATGCTTGGGGTTGGGGGCAGATGGCTGCGATCTTTGTTGTTGTCACTTTGCTTCACATTTTTCTGATTAAAAAAATAGTTACAGAACGGATTAACCTTATTTACATTGAACCTTATAGGGAAATTTATGAAATTTGGCTCATGACCATTCTGGGTCACGACCAGAGTCCTGGAACAGATTAACTTTGTGAGCCAAGGTACCACTGTATTTGACATGATTATTTTGGGTTAATCTATAACATAAAAGTAGAAGATTCCTTCTTGCAGCCATGCTGGAGGAAGAGGAGAACACATAGACTTGAGGCTTCTTAAGGCTCATTCTTGTGATGTTAAATTAAGGATTAGTGACACATCATTTCATTTCATATCACTTATAACACGGAATGGAAGGCTTTAACTTACCTGTCTGTCCGTGTGTTGAGACAAGAACATTTGGTGCAGTTACAGGAGATAGTAATGTACTTTCACTGGATAATGGGACTTTTGCATTTTCTGATGTAGACACTTCAGCTGACTGTGGCTCAGAAGCAGTCTGCTTAGCATTGGATGCAACCTTAGAGATCACGGTACTTATTGTTGTGAGGTCAAGCATTGCTGGCCGCAGCCTGCCTGTGAGATAAGCAGCTAGCCGACTAGCTGGATGTAAAGCCCCCATCTGTCCCAAAAGAAGTTTGGCTTGAGGATAATTTTTACCATTAGCCTGAAATAAAAGAATAAAATGCCAACACCTGCTTAGTTCTCCCTTTTCAACCATGTTCTTGTTTTAACTTATGTAATGGGCTTGCTGTAGCCTAGCAAAATGTTTTACTTTTTAACAGCTCATCCCCATGCCAAGATTTCCTTCAGTTTCTGAAGCTGTTTGCCAGGCAGCACAGATATCTGTTGTTTGATATGCATGTCATGGCTTGTCATTATGCATGGATTCAGCCACTATCTGAGCTTTTCTTATTGCAGTTTCCAAGCATTGTAGGATTGAAGCCTCCTGATTCGACCTGTCAACGTTCTTTCTACCAATCTGGTCATTTTAGAGAAGTTTTTTTAAGTCAAATGTGACTGTACTGGCCTTTCTTAGTCATTTTCCACTTAAATATATATGAAATCCGATAGCACAGTGGTAATTATTTCCAACTGGTCCAGCAGCACTTACATTTCATTCTAAGCAACACTACTTTGGATTAAATCAAGAACCACCTTCTCTCTGCTAGGTTCAATAACCACCTGTTCCAGGCAACAGGGAAAAGGAATGGAATGCTCCCTATCTAAGTGGACAATGTGTACCCTAGGAGGAAGCAGCAAAGGAGATCTCCTACTCTGCTTTCCATATTGGAAGAAATATCTTTATCATCATTTTTGTTTCTTTGTTTGAACAGCTGGGGTGTCACAAACAGGATACATGCTGGGGTCTACCAGCATACAGTGACTTAAAACCAATACACTCTAAACAGAAGAAGCTGCTGCACTAGTGGAATGCTGCTGTCGTTTCTCATTGTATAAAGGACTAGCAAACCACTTTGTAAATCTATGATCGGAAAACAGTTGCATAATTTGATTGCACACACTGAACTTTACTTGTATTCTCTCCTTGGACATAGTTCAGATCTTGATTCTTCCTGTGAAATGGAATTTGCACTAGGGCAATGACACTGATGAATTCAAACCTATGAAGGCAGGAGGCTGACTGAGGACTGAAGAGAAGATAAGGCAAAGAAGCTGCCTTCAGTCCAAAGGATGGGCTCTATCCCCAATTCTACCTATCCTCTTTCACTCAAGAGAGTAAGATGTATGAAAAAACACTACTGTGCTAATATATGCACATCAGGGAAAAATGTCTGCATATGTATATGCACATGTATGTATGCTCACAGGGATAGAAGTATAGCAAAGGTAAATAAACCTACCTGAATCAAGGACGAAGGATTCAAACCAGATTTGCATGTGTAGGCAATAAGCTTTCCTGCAGGAGAAAGCCCAGCATAAAAAGGTAAACCTTTCTTCCTTTGTTCCCGTAACATTCCAGGTGTCAAGAATGTGATTGTTTCTGTCCTTTTGCATGGTGACAATTGATTATTGGGAGCTTCTGAACCAGAGATGTGGGCCTTTTCACTCTTGTTTTGGCAGGATGTGATTTTCACTCGGGAAGAATAGATAGGAGTGTTCTTCTCATCCCAAGTTTTGCTTTGAGATTTTAGATCAATAACAAAATTCCCTACTTTGAGGGACTTAGGGATCTTATTCTTGATGTACTGTGATAAGATGTTCAAGATCTCATTACGATCTTCTTCCCAGTTGCAATCAGAAATAATCTCAATCAGTTTGGTTCTTCCTTCTGGAGTAGTGTGATGTATGTATGAAGTGGATGGATCCTCAGCACTACAGGAAAACCACCAATTTTTCTCTGGGAAAGAATGGAAATAGGTTTCTGCAATGTTACAGTTTTATGTCCATTGATATCAAACTGTTTTATTATTTGTATCCCCATCTTCTATCATCATCATCATCAGTCAATTAGACTAAAGAGTTGGAACAAGAATTCCCACTTATAAGACAGTGAAGAAAAAGACCTTGATAGAAAAAACTGAACATTTCAATATCTCCATACACATTTGAGCAGTGGGAAGAGAAAAATGTTTACTTTCTGTAAATTAGGTTCCTGTTGAATTTAAAGCTTTTAGTATGTTGCACTTTAATATGTTTAGTGTCTTTTTGACTGTCTGCTTATCTTTTGTGACTAGCCATTTCTCTCAGTGTAGCCATTTGTGCTGGCATCCAAGACAGTTTTCCAAATGTTAAACGTGCCCCAAAAGGTTGCCTCCCAGATTACACCATCCTTATGCTAATTGACACTTTAAAAATCCTACAGATCAGTAATGCAGAGCTTCCCTTTCAGAAGGCATATTGCTTCCTTTATAGCAAGAGTTGTTCTTTTATATTAAGGGTAGGCAATATTTTCAAGACCAAAGACATTCGGTGATTTGACACTTCTAGAACATCATGACCATTGCAGCCATTTTACTGTAGTGTTGTGCAGTTTCTCAAATGGCCAAATGTGTCAATGAGCCCAGAAAGTTACCTACCCCTGCTTTAACCCAGTATAATTCCTGATTAAGTATGAAAAATTGGTTTATGAAAGGGGGCTAATTTGCATGCACTGGATGATATCGGGGCCCACCCCCTGGAGGAATCCCAAAGGATTCTGTGAGATGATCTGAGGTGCCCTATGGGAACCTCAGATGCCATTCACAAGCTGGGGGCTCTGCTGTCCTGTTGTAGATAAACTAGGAACTCTGCTTTGCTACACATCTAACAGTATACACAATTAACAGTGAACCACAGTAAGACCAGTATTTTTACTGTTACCTCTGTTGCAATATGAAGGGGGTGAAATAACAGAGAACTCAGTGCCAGAGCCAGCTTCCAACTATTTAACCACTGGTAAAAAAAATTATGAGTGTTTCCATCTGCCTTTTTTTGTTGTGACCTATTCATACTGTTTTAACAGACACAAGCCAAGTGACTAAGCTTGTCTTTCACTAATTTTAGCCCCATTTCTGAATTTACTCCACAGCAGCATCAACCATGTGACCCAAAAGGCATCCTAGGAACAACAACTGAGCTGGAAAGTGCAGGAAATAAAGTGTGCATACGGAAGTCCAATACTAGTTGAATATAAGTAGCCCAGTGCAGTGTACAAATGATGTTCTGACACTTTTTCCCAGGTATCAAACTTTTCATTTGCTGCTGCAGGTTTTATTCTCACACTGTTTTAACTGTTTATGTCTCTTATTTTTATACTTTACACTTTTAACTTTAATTTGTGAAGTCCTGATAATTTCTTGCTGATAGGCAATGCAGAAATGCTGTAAATCAAAATAAAATATTTGAGAAGCACTACTGGCTGCAATGCCAACTTCAGGTGACAAAGGAGGCTTCATATTTTTCATGGTCACTTTTTGCCTTACACATTCCCCAAGTTACAGAACTATCTCCCACCTCAGGGGACCCAGGAAACAATTTGAGAAATTAGGGATAAGCTCAAGATATTGGTTTTACCTCCAGGTTCTTTATCCTCTTCTATATTAAGGGACTGCAGCTGAGGATCATGCTCCTGAGAAGATTACAAGAGAAGTAGAAAATAAAAAGAGATAACCAAACTTGACTCCAAAAATAAAATTCTATTTCACATATTTGAAAACAGAGTAAAAACCCCAAAAGCTATAGAGTAAGAAATAGTAGTATTTCCTATCTTATAATGACTCAAACATGACCTAGTAGCAGGAATAGGAAAGAGAAGACATACCTGTATTTTACTAGGACCATGGTGTATACTGTTGTTGCCTGACATGGTCCCAATAACCTCTCCCCACCCACCTCTGCTACAGTAGATGCTAACAGTCACAGCAAGGAATCTTCCATTGCCACCAATGGGAGTCCCCCACCCCAAAGTTCTTAGCAGCCATGGAGGGAGAGGCATTTGTGTCAGGACCACAGCCAGGTAGAAAGTTAAAATTCCTCCCCATATATTGTGATGCCAATGATAATCCTCACTTTTTTTTTCAATACAGCTTAGAAACAACTGAGTTTAGCATAACGTCTAGCATGGACCTTCAATTTAGTCTGACATTTGTTCAATGCCAACATTTTACAGCTTAGGTTATTTTTACTGTGTAGGTGCATTAATAAAGGAAACTGTGGAAATAAAAACATACCTTTTCAACAGGTTTTTCAGAATTCCGAGGACATTTTTGCTGCTGTCTTTTCTCCTTTGTCTTGCGTTCATGTATTCTAACACGAGCACAAGTCATCATACTTTCAAAATACAAATAGACAGGATCCTTATCCTCTTCTCGAATCTATAAACCAAAATAAAAATGCTTCAAGTTAAATAAAAGCGATTTTTATTATCCTTTTTCTCCACTCTTATGAAATGCTTAGACAAAATTCCAAAGGAATCACATACTTAGAAAGATAAAGATTAAATTGCTTCTGAGAAACTTTGCTTCTATGCAAGGAAATCAAATTTTAGGACAAATACTTCAGTGTGGGCTGCCCAATGTGTAACAGCACCCATAAGGCTTTCTAGCCCCTTCTGCTTTTGTTCTGACAAGAAATTCAGATTCATAGATGTAAAGGTCACCTGCTTCTACATCACCATTTTACCGCAAATAATATGAGAGAGAGAGAGAGAGAGAGAGAGAGAGAGAGAGAGAGAGAGAGAGAGAGAGAGAGAGAGAGAGAGAGAGAGAGAGAGAGAGAGAGAGAGAGAGAGATTGTTTGTTTGTTTGTTTGTTTGTTTGTTTGTTTGTTTGTGGAACTTCTATGCTGCCCCATTCGCCTTGGGGCGGCTCACAACCATAAATAAATAGAATCCTATAAAACAATGTAAATTAAGTCGCCCTGGCCAAAGAATAAAATAAATAAATAATATTAACAATTAAAATAACATTTGAATAAAAAGGTCTTCGCCTGGTGCCAAAAAACAAATAACAACGGCGCAAGGCGGACCTTTCTGGGGAGCACCTTCCATAGATTGGGCGCCACTGCAGAGAAAGCCCTCCTCCGAGTACTTACCCTCCTAATTTCCTTCATGGAGGGTTCCCGGAGAAGGGCATCTCCTGCTGATCTCCTGCTGATTGATCACATCCCCTTCACCACAAAGCCAGCTATGCACAGGTTATCTATCCTTGGTTCAGTGTATTCTAACACTTCAGGTTTTCATTGATCCAATTAAATAACTTCCTTTAGTGTACTGGTCAATTTTATTTCACTGTTGATCTTGTCTATTTCTCAGTAAAATATATTTGTCACATACATTTCTCAAATAAGACATAGTAGGCTTATGCAAAATTATCCTGGTAGTACTACGTGTTTCATTTATCCATGTTACCATATTCACTGTTATCAAGGTGTACAATGTAGAAGATGTATGGATTTCTAATACTATCTTCTAGAAATCCAAGGATTCCTTAATTTTAAAAAGTATGAGGAAAATAGACCCTTATTCCTCAAATCGTATTTTTAAAATGCTGCAAATCATTTTTCATCTTTTAAAGTCTAATCAACTTCTTAATCACACCAAGAACATCTCTCATGCCAGATGTCATACTGAAAAAGTTCTACTGTGGCGCTGTCATTCTATATGTAATGTTATCACTTAATATGGTAGATTAATTCAATTATATCCCCTGCTATACCAGTATATGATGTAGGAACACAGCAATAAAGAACAGAAGATCTACAAGAAACCAGAGAAGTTTACTGTATGAAATGACAGGTAAGGTTTGTTAAAGACAAATGGATGATTTGGCTGAGAAAATTCTCCTCATGCACTTGAAACCAAAGTCTCTCAAACTTCCACATATGATGCAGCATTTCACCAGTCACATATCTCCTGATTGTGAATGGCACAATTTCTAGCAAGATGTCAGAGCTCTATGTAACTGCTTTCCACCATGAGCAAGCAACTGGAATGAGCAGTTGTCTGCTAAGCAGAAACATTACTCAGCCCAGAAAATTTGACAATCAGAAATTGACCAGAATCACACAACATGCCATTTAACCTGTGATCACAGAATTATAGAATAGTAGAGTTGGAAGGGGCCAGAAGGCCATGAAGTCCAACCCCCTGCTATTGCAGGACACTAACCTATACCATTCCATTCAGATGACTATCCACATGCTTTCTGAATGTCTTTAGTGAGGGAAGGCCAACCAGGTAATATGTTCCATTGTTGTATTGATCTGACAGTCAGAAAATTCTTCCAGATACCTTGCTTAAATCTGGTTTCTTTTAACTTAAGCCTGTTATTCTGTGTTCTGCACTCTGGAATGAATGAGAAGAGATCTTGTAGAGTGTTATCATATCACTCCTCAGCCTTCTCTTCTTCAGGCTGAACATGCTGAATTCTCTCAATATTTTCTCAAAGGGATTTGCCTCCAGTCCCTGAGAAGCATCCTTCCTGCTCTCCTCTGTACACTTTCTAACTTTTCTGTATCTTTTTAAAACTTAGGTGCCCATAACTGAATACAGTGCTCCAGATATGGTCTGACTAGTGCTGAGTATAGGGAAACTACTTCAGGTGTTTTGGAAGTGATACTTCTGTTAATGCAAGAAACCAAGAGGTAATGTCTGCTGGCACAAAGTTGAATATGCAGCTCCTGCTTACAGATGATCATGTTGTGCAAACTCAATGAGTATGAGGGTTAAGCAACCATCAAATAGCCATTAAAACGGAGCACTGGTTATGCTTGCACTACAGCCTCAACATGGGATTCACACACAACACTAGGCCACTCTGTGAGCAAGCTTTGCAATCCATAGTATGCTGAACAGTAAAGCTTGCTGTGGCTTATTCTGTCCCTTCTTCCCTCTCAATCCTTCAGCCAAGATTGACATGTATCTCAGATGCCTCTATGACAGAATTTACATCCTGAAATTCTTTGTTCTTCTGCTGCAACATTTTTACTATTGGTCCACAGTGTGTCCAGAATGCATTTAGCCTTTACAGGCTTCTGACAGAAAGTCTTCCCCATCTTTTCCTTCCTATGCCTGCTGAGACCTGCTATTTCTATAAAAGGGAGACAAGACTTCCCCATGCAGAAGGCATTCTGACTTTTTCTCAGGTAAGGGCCTACCCAGACTGCAAATGTCTTACTAGACTGACAAGCTGAAGTCACCCTAAGAATTAGAAAACTGTTTTTCAGGACAATACACAAGTCAACAGTGGTTAGTGGTTCAAAACAGTTTGCAGTCAAAGCCTGCAGGAAGAGAACAACTCCATACTGTTATTGGAATCAAATGTGGGAACAATATTCTGCATTTTTCTCACATTCTCAGAGTCCCAGCCCACCAGAGAGGCATTACTACCCTTGACAGAACTTAAGGCAAAAGGATGTGCCATCATGAAGACTACAGACATTCATTCACCAAATGACAGAAGGGATTCCAAGACCATGAAGAGCCAAGCAGCTACACTGGGCATTCCAAAGCAGGTTGACATTCTGAATAAACCATTTCTGTAGTACTGACATACATAGATAGGTGAAACAGCTACGGCTTTAACAACTGCCATTAATTCTAGTCACTGTATTACTGGAATTAATCACTGTATTACTGCAGCAGTTCAAGTCCCTGAAAGAAAGACTGCTCGGACAGGTCAGACCAATGTTGATGCCCAAATCTTCTGGAACTGAATCCAAGACTGCTGTAATATATCAGATGGATTATGCCTCTTGCAAGTGGGCCTTCTCAGTATTAAAGCAAAGGCTAAGGCAAGAGATTGTTAGCCAAGGCCCATACGTTTGGTGGTGTTTTTAGCTTTCTGGACTGTAGCCAATATCTCATCTATTTCTGCATTTAATAGACCCTCAATGCTGAACAGGCCCTTAGTTTGGAAGCAGGCCTCCTGGGAGAATCCTGTGAATCTAAGTCATGCATGTCTTTGAACAGTGATGGAATTCATAACCTCTTTCAAACTCAATCAGGGAAGCATTACTATGTTGGAGGGAGAAATGGAAAGCTTTATCCTGAATAACTTGTACCAACTCACATTTCTCCTATGGCAAGCACTCAAAGTCCCTATGTTTTCCCAGAAATAATACTGGTATGTTGCCCAAGCACCTTGATAGTTGACACACAGAACCCAAGCACTAGTGAAATGTATATGGCACCCTAACATATCTAGGCATCTACTGTTCTTGTCTAGCAGAGAACAGTACACTATTTGTTAGGACAATGAAACTCAGGAGGCATCTTTTTTCATGCTAAAATTGTTTATTTGAATTTAATCATTTTTCATTACTTCAAGCCACCTTGGTAGGAATCGTATCCAGGAAGGCAGCATATAAATAATTTTAATAAACAATTCCTTATTCTTAACTGAACAGATCAGAGGAAGCTGCCCCAGCCAGTCTGGGATACAAGCAGCCAAGCTCCCAGGTAGTGCAAACAGGAGTTTTGCAGGGGAGGTCCCTAACATTTTTCCCTTCTTTTTTCCCCTTAGTTGTCTCCCACACTTTGTTTTTTCCCTCGTAACACACTCACATTGATTGGTAGGACTGCGCTGTTAACCTTCAGGGAAGACAAAAGAAAGCACCCGTTGTTACAAAGCCCCAGCAAGCCAAAAGCAAAAAGGTGGCAGAAAGAATGAACCAAAAAGACTCTGCAGTGATGATGACCTGCAATAACTGTGCAATGTTTGTTTTCTTGCCTGAGGGCAACATGACCTACACATGCAACAAGTGCAAGCTAGAAGCCCTGTTACAACAAAAGGTGAGAGCGCAACAACAGTGAGTGTCCATATTCATGGTAAAAAAAGATGGAGAGTTTTAAGACAGAGCAGTGAAACTAGAATAGCTAAGATTAGTGCAGAAGCTAGACGTGCAACAGCAAGCTGAGGCAGAAGAGAAGAATCCTGTGGGGAGGGAAAATGATGAAGAAACTCCCTAGAAAAGGGGGGCAGGTACAGAAAAACTAGAAGAGACTCTGCACCAGTGGAAGCAGTGGAGCTATGGAACCGCTTTCAGTTACCTGAGGTGGTGTGCAATGGAAGAACTGCAAGCCATCCCATGCAACACTGAACAAGAGGCTAAAGGGCAACCAAGTAGTAGCATTCATATCAAGGCTTACAAAACCAAGAAAAGGGTGTTAAATTCTGAGGGACTCCCTGTCACATGGGATGGAAAAACATGTACATCAGGAAGACCCATGAACTTCCATTTCAGTTCACGGAAGAGGAATAATAGGGAAAGAAAAATAATCCAAGTAAATGCCTGGCTATGAAGGTGGTACAGATGTGGGAGATTTGGATTCTGGGAACATGGATTACACCTCTTGGAAAATGAACTGCTGGCAAGGGATGCGTTGCACCTCACAAGGACTGGAGAAGATGTGTTTGGCCACAGCATGAAGAAATTTACAAGGAGGGCTTTAAACTGAATCCTACAGGGCTGGGGGAAAAGTACACCTGGACATAAGAACTGACAAAGGCCTACGCAGTACAACAGAGAAAGCAGTTCTAACTGTGCCCAGTAATAGTCTTCCAAAAATATAGGAAGAAAGCTAGAGCATAAAACATGTGGTCTTCAATGAATCTATATTAATGCTTAGGAGTATGGGTTAGGGTTAGGGTCAATTCTGCCAAACTTATCTGATTTCATTTTTTGAGTAACCTTCCTGATGGACTGTGGGGATTCTATAGATATAATCTATCTTGATTTCAGCAAAGCTTTTGACAATGTGCCCCACGATATCTGTAACAGCAATCTAGCTAAAAGTGGGCTAGCTGGAACAACTAACAGGTGGATCCACTGTTGGCTACAGAATCAGTCTCATCAATGGCACCTTCCCAGATTGGGAAAAGGTAGCAAGTGGGGTCCTGCAGGGTTCAGTCCTGGGACTAACATTTTTTTTAATGATTTGGATGAGGAAGTACAGGGAATAATTATCAGATGACAAAAAACTGGGTAGCTAATGGGACAGCTAATGCCCTGGAAAACAGAAAGAAGATTCAAGGTGATCCTGATAGGTTGGAGCATTGGGCTGAAAACAGTAGAATGAAATTCAATGAGGACACAGTCCAATTTCTGCACCTAGGAAAAAGAAATCAACTGCATCATTAAAAGAAGGGGAATATTTGGCTGAAAAATACTGCAAGTGAGAAGGATCTTGGAATTGTTGTGGATCAAAAGCTGAATACAAGTCAACAATGTGATGTGGCTGCAAAAAAGGGCAAATGGTATTTTAGGCTGCATTAATAGAAGTATTACTTCAAAATCATGTGAAGGACTAGTTCTCCTAGTAGGAGAGCAATAAGAATGATCCAGGGACCGGAAACAAAGCTCTCTGATAAGAGATTGAAAGAATAAGGCATGTTCATCTCCAAAGAGACTGAGAGGAGATATGAGAGCACTCTGCAAGTACTTGAAAGGCTGTCACAAAGAAAGAGGACAAGACCTCTTCCTGCTAATCCCAGAGTGCAGGAAGTGGAATAATGGGCTCAAGTTAAAGGAAGCCAGGTTACGGATGAACATCAGGAAGAACTTCCTGACTGTTAGAGAAGTATGACAATGGAAGGTTGTGGGTTCTCCCACACTGGAGGCACTCAAGATGCAACTGGACAGTCATCTAAGAGGGATGTTTTAACTGGAGTCCTGCACTGAGCAGGGGCTTGGACCTGACAGCACTCTAGAGCTTTCCAATTCTACTATTCTATGTTTCTATATATCTGCAGGAGGCACATCTATTCCACCTTAAAATTAAAACCCCCAACCATATGCTTAATTTCCTTTTAGTCTGGTTGCTTTTTCTAAGAGGTACAATAACCTTGGTTTAACCTTAAAATTTCAATTTGGTTTGCTTACCAATGGATTGGGTCTAGGCGTATAGACTCGTGATGACTTTACTCCACTGGCTATAGGCTTCATTTCACTGACTGCAGGTATGTTATCAGATGGTAAGCCTTCAGGCAGAGGTGGCATCAGAGGCTTTGTTGGTTCAACAGCTGATGGTGTTGGGATATAAACCGGTTCTGGGTCCATCTCACCATCTACTTTTACCCACAATGGAAAATTCTTAACAGGCTTATCTGGCTCTGTATCACAGATAGCTAGAAAAAAATGTAAGATTTTATTTTATTTTATTGTGAAGAATTCCTTGTCTAATACTGATTACAAAAGTATCCATTTAGGCATTGTATAAATATAAATAAGGTTGTTTCACTAGAAGAATAATTGCTTATTTATAAAATTTAAGGAGATTGTATCTTCTCTGTCTTAAGTTTGAAGAAAGCTGCTATTCTTATGCAGTAAAAGGAAGAATATTGTACAAAAGGAATTTTCATGATGAAGACTAAGTATAGAAGAAAGGAGATTATAAACTAGGAATGTTTTTTTACAAAACAGATATATTAAAGTTGCATATACAAATATATATGTTGTTCCTCATCTTCAAAGGCTGATACTACTCTAGTGGATTATTAGTTTAATAAAAGCAGTTAATATCTAAACACACAGCTAAACATAATCAATTACATACTGCCTTTATAGAGCTAGAGGAACATTTCATACAGCACATAATATGCACATAATATTATGAGAGAATATTCTTGTATGACTTACATACACATAGAAGAAAAGAATGGCTAGGATGAGGACTGGGAAGCACACAAACTTAATATTCCTCATAATTACTTATTGCTCAACTATATATACTTCTCACATTAGCACAGAAATCAAGTTAATAATAATATTCATAACAACCCCCATAAACATCTCTACACAGCAAGAAGGGAAACCCAATAAAACAAAGAACCAGACCAATCAACTGTCCTGAAGAAATAAAAAACAAACAAACCTGCACTTTGAAAACAATTCCTTTCTCCTTGGCAAGCAGCAAGCAACAAATCACTCCAGGGGAAGTCTGGAGAAAGGGGAAATCACTCCAGGTTAAGAAAGGCAGGTTGCTTACCTGTAAATGTCATTCTTTGAGTGGTCATCCATGCATTCACACCAAAATGTGCTTTGCCACGGAGTGCAAGGCTCAACAGGAGAAAACTTCCAAAGCTCGGCGTCATGGAGTGGGTGGGAGCCTGCCTCCCCGCCCACCGCACAAGTAGCATAAGGGGAAGGGCTCCCACCCAGTCCCTCAGCTGTCTGAAGACCGCGCTGTCCCAGGCGTGCGAGGGATCCAAGAAATCTGTGGAGGATATAGCGGAAAAACCACGCCCTGCCCCAGCCCATGTGGGGCAGAAAAGGCTGATGACAGCCAGTGGGGTGGAGGGTGGGTTGTGTGAATGCACGGATGACCACTCGAAGAACAACAGTTACAGGTAAGTAACCTGCCTTTCTTCTTCATGGTCTCTGTGCAATCACACCAAAATGGGCAACTAGCAAGCCTACCGTCCAGGAGGAGGGCTATTGTCACTGAAGAATTCCAGAGAGAATGGTCCTTCCAAAGGTGTAGTCACATTTGGTGCGGGCATCTAGCTGATAATGGCGGACGTAAGGTCCAGGGCGTGGCCCATGTCATGGCCTTGCGGATCTCTTGGAGTGAGACACAAGCTAGCAGTGCAGTGGAAGTGGCTTGTGTGCATGTGGAATGGACACACGAGTGGTCCGTTAGGGGAATCTTGGCCATCGCATAGGCAGGGAAGATGGTGCTGGAGACCCACTTAGGGAGGCTTTGACTAGAGACAGGTTCACCTGCTCCGAGGCCCTCATAGCGTACGAAGAGGCACTCAGAGCAGTGAAACGGCTGAGACCAAGCCCTGTAGAAAGCCAGGGGCTGCCTAACATTGAGGAGGTGGGGTGTGGCCTCAATGGGGGTGAAGGGGTTGGGAAGGAGGCAGGACAGACAATGTCCTGGTTGACATGAAGGGAGATGTTACCTTAGAGGTGAAATGAGGGTCAGGGCAGAGGACGATCTAGTCTGTGGAACATGGCATTGTTAAGGACACGGGCAGCACTACCGGGGTATGCACACCTGGGGGCATCCCGGGCAGTCCTGTGTAGCCTACAGGGCTGGTGGGAGGGCAGGCTCCCTTGAGGTGTGGCACTTCCTCCTCTTTGCTGGCGCCACAGTGGCAGAGGGGTCCTCTCCCAGCAATACTGCCCTCCTCCAGGCCCTGCGGGGCTTGGAGGGTCCTTTGGCAGGGGGGTTGCCCACCTCGGAGGGGGTAATAGTTGTGAGTGCCCACTGCCATAAGACTTGCCAGGGATGCATGGTTCTCTGCCATGTCAGCTTTTAAAGGTCTGGCAGCATGGGCAGGCCTCCACGATGTGCCCCTCACCAAGGCAGAGAAGGCATCTTGAATGCCTGTTGTTGGTGGGCATTCGAGCCGTGCAAGAGACACAGTGGCGTGGGGCAGAGTCGGCCATGCAGTTCAAAAGGAACACACGTGGGCAAGGAGGAAGAGAGAAGAAACCCGGGGGCAGGGGGATTCGCGGTGGAACGAAAGAGAGAGGCGGAAGGCTTCTCCCTCTCAGAGCGGTAAGAAGAGCATGGAAGAGGAAAAAACTTTTTTTTTTTTTTTTTGAAAGGAAGAGAGAGAGGAATGGAGAAGAAAAGTTAAAATGGTGAACCAGGCGTAGAGAAGGTCCGATCAAGGTAAGCTTGAGTGTGGTTAAAAAGGAACTGAGGGACTAGACGGGAGCCCTCCCCATTATACTACCTGTGTGGGGAGTGGGCTGGGCTCCCGCCCAATCCATGGCGCTGAGCTTTGGAAGTTTTATCTGATCGAGTCTTGCACTCTGTGGCAAAACCCAGTTTGTTGTGATTGCATGGAGACCACGAAGAAGAACATGGCTTCTACAGAAACCTGACCATTAGAAAAAGCACATTGCAGCAATATCTAGAGATGAAGATGAAACAGTTTCATGAAAGACTCTTGACTACTACCTTTTCCTACATACAATGACAAAACTTAAAACAGCCTCTTCCCAAATCTTCACTATTCTTTTCAAACTCAGAGTGGGTCTACTTTCAGTTGCTGAACAAGAAAGCTTCTCATGGGAAAAGTTATTATCTTTATTCCTCTTCAGCCAGCAGGCTGGCAGACAGTGAAATGATGGCCTAGATAATTGTTCATAGCCTAAGGCAGAGAACACCAATTCAAAGCGCTTGAGAAAGTCTCTTACATGAAAGTAATTGTCTACCAAGAGAAAGGAATCTATCCTAAAGTGCCTACAGAAATCCTAAAGGGGAACTGGTATCCAAGGAGGCTGGAGTAGCCGATTCATTAACAGAATGAATAGCATTCCCCACCAAGAGAACTTGTCCTCCAGGCTTATATGCTATGGCAATAAACTCAAGAGAGTCATTTGCTGAGAATAGGCCTAGTGATCTTCTACAGACAAGATGCTTGAACTACTGAGGCCTCTTTATAGAGATCTGCAGAATGTGGTGAACTTCAAAAGGACAAGTTGCTTTTCAGGCTTTTTTTTAAGAATGGGAGGCATTAGTTCAAAAAGTTGAATAAGCCTATTTATTTCTAAGGAAGGAAAGATTACCTGTGAGAAGATAGAAGGCACAGTGTATTCAATTCTGTCCTTGTGAAAACTGTGATGTTCTTTCTAGTCAGAAAGAGCATCAATCCCACCCACTTTGCAGAAGGAATATTACGAGAAACACACAAGGAACATGTATCTCTTCTGCAAGCAAAATTTTGGTCCTAGAATGCTTCCAGGAATGCTTCCCAGCAAGATGCACTTCTTCCATGCCTTATTTTAAAGGCAAATTGTGGCTTTCCCCTGCTGCTAAATTTCAGAGGCAAAAAGGTGGTGCACCAGCAATTCCTGAGAGGGTATGGTGGGTTTGGAGAGCAAGGGGAGCCTTCTGCATAGCCTACTCCTGCTTAAGACGCTGTTGTTCAATCTCCAGGATTTAACCATAGCTACCTTTGGGTTCCCCTTTCACTGCCTTGCCATGGCAAAGGGGCTTCCAAAGTGCAATGAAGCTATGAGGTATGCTGTACAGGGGCACCCAAGACAGAATGGCCATAACAGAGAGAGCTGACAAAAGGTGATCCACTAGCGAAAGAAATGGCAACCCACTCCAGTATCCTTGCCATGAAAACCCCATGGACAGTACCAAAAGGCTAAAAGATACGACGTCAGAAGATGAGCCCCTCAGGTCAGAAGGTGTCCAGTGTGCTACTGGGGAAGAGCAGAGGGCTAGTACTAGTAGTCCCAGAAAGAATGAAGCGACTGGGTCAAAGTCGAAAGGACACTCAGTTTTGGATATATCTGGTGGTGAAAGGAGAGTCTGATGCTGTAAAGATCTATATTCCATAGGAACCTGGAATGTAAGATCTATGAATCAAGGCAAGCTGGACATGGCCAAACAAGAGATGACAAGACTGAACATCGACATCTTAGGAATCAGTGAACTAAAATGGACAGGAATGGGTGAATTTAATTCAGATGACGATCAGGTATACTACTGCAGGCAAGAATCCCTCAGAAGAAATGGAGTAGCCTTCATAGTCCAGAAAAGAGTAGGAAAAGCAGTTCTGGAATACAATCTCCAAAATAACAGAATGATCTCGGTTCAAATCCAAGGCAAACCAGTCAGCAGCACAGTAGTCCAAGTCTCTGTCCCAACCACTCATGCTGAAGAGGCTGAAGCTGACCGGTTCTATGAAGACTTACAACACTTTCTAGAAATAACACCAAAAATAATGTCTTTATCATCATGGCAGATTGGAATTCTAAAGTAGGAAGCCACAAGATAATTGGAACAACAGGGAAGTTTGGCCTGGAGTACAAAAGGAAGCAGGGCAAAGGCTAGCAGAATTTTGTCAAGAGAACACGCTGGTCATAGCAAACACTCTTTTCCAGCAACCCAAGAGACGAGACTACACATGGACATCACCAGATGGTCAACACAGAAATCAGATTGACTGTGTGCTCTGCAGCCAAAGATGGAAAAACTCTACAGTCAGTAAAAACAAGACCAGGAGCTGACTGTGGCTTCATGAGCTTCTTGTTGCAAAATTCAGGCTTAAATTGAAGAAAGCAGTAAAAACCACTAGGCCACTCAGTATGACCTAAATCATATTCCATATGAATATACAGTAGAGATGACAAATAGATTTAAGGAATTAGATCTGATAGACATAATACCTGGAGGACTATGGATAGAGGTTCACAACATTGTACAAGAGGTAGCAACTAAAACCATCCCAAAGAAAAAGAAACGCAAGAAAGCAAAATCGCTATCTGAAGAAGCTTTACAAATAGCTTAAGAAAGAAGGGAAGTGAAAGGCAAGGGAGAAAGGGAAAGATTCACCCACCTGAATGCAGAATTCCAGAGAATAGCTAGAGGGGATAAGAATGCCTTCTTAAATTAACAGTGCAAAGAAATTGAGGAAAACAATGAATCAGAAAGACTAGAGATCTCTTCGAGAAAATTGGAGAGTTAAAGGGAATGTTTCATGCAAAGATGGGCATGATAAAGGACAAAAATGGCAGGGACCTAACAGAGGCAGAAGAGATTAAGAAGAGGTGGCAAGATTACACAGAAGAACTATACAAGAAAGATCTGACCTTGAGCCAGACATCCTGGAATGTGAAATCAAATGGGTCTTAGGAAGTCTTAGCAACCACAAAGCTGGTGGAGGAGACAGTATTCCAGCTGAGCTATTCAAAATCCTAAAAGATGATGCAGTTAAAGTGCTACACTCAATATGCCTGCAAATTTGGAAAACTCAGCAGTGGCCACAGGATTGGAAAAGGTCAGTTGACATTCCAATTCCAAAGAAGGGTAATGCCAAAGAATGTTCAAACTACCATACAATTGCACTCATTTCTCATGCTAGCAAAGTTATACTCAAAATCCTACAAGTTAGGCTTCAGCAGTATGTGGACCAAGAACTATCAGAAGTACGGGCAGGGTTTCGAAGAGGCAGAGGGACTAGAGATCAAATTGCCAACATACGCTGGATTATGGAGAAAGCTAGGGAGTTCCAGAAAAACATCTACTTCTGCTTCATTGACTATGCTAAAGTCTTTGATTGTGTGAATAACAACAAATTGTGGCAAGTTCTTGGGCTTGAGTGGACTCTGAGGGATGGAGGAAGACAGGAGAGCCTGGAGGAATGTTGTCCATGGCGTCGTGATGGGTTGGGCACAATTTTGGGACTAAACACACACACACACCACAAAAAACAAAACCAGAGGTAGTTTTTCCACATTTGATGTCAAAGAGGAACATCTTGGTATAGAATGTTCAGGGTTGGTGTATGTGTGATGCACAGAGACCATGACAAAGAATCTGAATGAGCCTTGGAGAAGTCATCACTTTTTTCTGGCAGGTATATGGTCTTTAACAAGAGTTGCAGCTGCATGTTTTATAACAATTCAACGTACACGCTAGAGAATCAATTCCTCTACACCAGCTCCCACAAACTACAATGGAAGAAGATCACAGGTGTTCTTTCAATTCCCACTGGTATGTCCTAAAATCCTAGAAGCATGGAATAGGCTGTCCTGTCCTATCCAATTAGACAGTCTTAATTGCACATGGATCATATACCTGGGGCACAAGTGGCATAGAAACAACTTACACTTTCAGCTTCATCAACAATAAAGAAATCTCAAATCTTGGTGATATTATCTAAAATGTATTATCCAAATAAAGTCATTTTACAGTTAGATAACAAAATAGGATTATTTTATATAGTTAAGATTATAAGATGATGATACATCAGCAATATTTTGAAACAAAGTTCAGTAATTCAAATCCTGATGATGTTATTTTTGATGCACAACTTGATCCTATACATGTTTTCTTGGATGTCTGAAGCAGGGCTCAACAGGTATAAACAGACTATCCTGCTGAAAGCAAATGAATTGACTAATTGGTTTTGCTTTTTCAATGAGATTCAGTCAATCAACTTTTAGCAGAAATATATATATATATATATATATATATCAGAATGACTTATGCTATAAGAATGGTCACGAGAGCATTTTATTTAGAATCCCTGTTGTAAAACAACTCTGTGATTCAAATACATATGAAAAGAGCTATATGCAGCAACTGAGGTGCTTGCTAAGATAACAATTAGTCAATACTTACCATATTCCACCTTTTTTTTCCTCCTCTTATCTTTTAGTTTCAACTTCTCTTGCTCTTCTTTCTCCATAACCACCTCTTGTTGCTCTATTTTTTTTCCACGATATAGCTTGTGCTTCCCATGCAGAGGTTTCTCTATGATCCTCTTGTGCTTGGAACTGCCTTTAACTAGGACCACCTTTCTCTTTAGGCAAGTGCAGCCAAACATACAGTCTGGCTTGCGGCAGTGTGTTGGCTGGCGTTTCTCAAGAGCTAAACTAGAACAGATACATCCAAGCCGGCAAAAATCATTGTTGCATGGTGGTGCTCGCCTTTTGATTATTTTGTGGATGGGTTTGTTTTTGAGTGAAGCCTGAAAAAGTGTACACACACATTGTTCTCAACCATTTGGACAAATATTTGGATATACACAAATGAGTAATTACTACCATGTAGACTTCTGAAACACATGATAAGCAAACCTATTCAGAATCCAGTGATATACTTGCTTTAGACAGTTGCAGCTGCCAATTAAGTATTTAAAAGATATTGCAAGACTGTTATTTTTTTCTTCAACAGACTGACACAGATACGTCTTTATATTCTGACTGTTAATTTGAGATGCATACTCCAGAAGTAATATAACCAAACTGAATGTGCATGCTGTATAAATATTAACTGTATAGATTTCATCTGATCTGCATTCATTTGACAAATAACCTATATGACTTAACAGAGCTCTTGATGAAAAAAATAACCCAGAGTCCCCTGCAGAGCCCTACAATAAAATGCAGTATGTAAACTCAACAAAAATTAATGTAAATCAAGACTGAACTAAATAAAATATAGCTAGAAAACAAAAAGTTGCAGAGCGTGACAATGTGTGGAGCTTGGCAGAAACATTGTGTGTCAGGTGCAATTGTTGTACATGTCTCAAAAGCCAGCTCCACACAGAATAGCCTTCTCCAAACTGATGCCCTCCATATGTGTTGGGCTACAACTTGTATCATTCCTGACTATTGGTCACAGGCTGATGGAAGCTGTCAGCCAAAACATGAAAAGGGTGAAAAGCTGGAGAAGCCTGATATGATGCATAAATCTAACAGGAATGTTTCCAAGGCCTATGAGATAGTGGCTAGATGTGCTCGCTCCAAGGAAGACTGAAGCAGGTGCGGGAGGGGAAGCCTTATACATTCTTAATGACTTGGAACCAGGTTACCTGAAGCTTGTCTCATTTCCCAAATACCCACTAGACCGATATCCTTTTCAAAGGCCCTCCACCAGGAGACCCCAAGTCTGATGTGTACTTTCAGAGGTCCAATGCATTATACTGTTTTACAGAATTTATGTTGCTATGTACTGTTTAACTGATTGCTACTGCATTTTAATATTTTATTGTTAAACTGTTCAGACGAACATCACTGTTGGGTGGCATAAAAAATGATAATCAAAGTACAAGCACACGTACACACAGTCACAGCAAGTTTCCTTAACAAAGCTAGTTACATGAGCACTCCCAAACTATGTGTTTGATCTCTCAGAAGAAGCGCTACTCCATCCAAAAAGGACTGTATATCCTGGTCATGCCTTTCTAGTGACCAAAGGCACCTTTGTACTGACAACATTCAGCTTCAGTTTGTTAGCCTGCATCCAGTCCATCACTGGCATGTTTCCATTTAATTCTCTCCATCCCAAATTTATTTGCCATCTAACAAACACTAGCATTAATGTTAAAACAGGAGGTATACTGAAGACAAACAACCAGTAAAGCACCTTACCTGAGCAGTCAGTAAAGTTGTCAGGGACAAGTCTGCTCGCTCTTCAGTAATAAAAGTCCGTGGTTTACCATCCCACAATGCACAATCCTCCAAGTCCATCAGCTTCAAATGAGTCTTTGATAAAGTTGGCAAGCGATTACTTTGCTGCTGTGTCTGTCGCACATTGAACTGTTTCCCCTGCACATTGTCATCTATGCCCGGCATCATGAGAGTACCTATACCATTAGCTACTTGACTATTTGACTGAGATTTAGAGACTTTCTCTTCCAAGGCTGTTAAGTTGTGTTTCTGCTTTGTTACAACAGGTAAAGCTATTACAGGCTTGTGGGGTAACTTTTCTTTGCTTTTAGAGACTTGTTTTTTATTTTTAACTTTCTCTCTTTTCTTTCTAGAGACAGAAGGCACAGAAAGAGGCTTGAAAGTATAGGAACTGGAAGAAGTTGTAACAGTGGATTGTTTTTTAAGAACGCTATCTAATGTTCGTACATAGCTGGTGCTTTTAGTTGGAAGCTGATAAACCACAGGACAACTGGATGTGCTAGCAGAAAATTCTGCACTTGTTTCCATTAGCTTCCCTTCATTTTCCAGGTATTCATCAAGCTTGTCACTGCAAAAGGCAGATCTGTTCTTCAAAGATGCTTCTATGATGATACCTGTATAATTATATAAATCAATTTTAGATTAAGGGTACTCCCAACTTCACTTTTAATAATGGGGGTGTCATGTTAAGTCACCCTGCAAATAAGCCACTGGGGGCTGGCTGTTTGCTGTACATGCATGGTACTCCCTGCAGACTATCATACTTTCTACAGCTTGTTTCTCCAACTAAGTCCCCCTGCAGGTTCCAGAATATAACCTAGATACCTTTGCAACAGAATGCCTCAGTCCTTAGCACACATGCGGCAATTGGTCCTCTGGGGTAGTCAGCTAGCAAGGACAACTCAAAAATGTTCTGAGAGCATTACAAACCATTTTGAGAGCATTATGCTACTCAAACAGTATATAAATGCTTTAAACAAACAAACAAACAAACTCCCTCTCCGTCACATCAGACTTCCAAATAGAATTAATTTTCAGAATTCTTATGAATGTAGTGACACGTTTGCATTGTTTGTTTTCTTTCATTTTTGCAGGGAATTCTGCTCTTCTGCAAGAGTACCTACATGATATTCAGTCCAGGATACAGATCTCTCCATCTTGCTAATGTCCTTTCAAATTAATTCTCTATTTCACTGCCAACCCCTTCCACACACACACTTTATAGGCTACTTCACTTTACACTGAAGTAAGAACACCTACTTGTAAAGCGCCTTCTCTCTAGTCACTTTTGTCTCTCCTCACCTTCACTCACAATGAAGTTGAACTTCTTTCCTATGGCCACTTTAGGCTCCCGTCCATCACATCAGATCACAAAAAGAAACAATTTTTCAAACCCTTATGAATGCAGGAATACATTTACAACATTTTTAATAGACATAATTTTGGGTGACTTGTACTCTTACACAAGGGTACCTCTCTGATAGATGGAGAAGTGCAATGTTTTTGTCAAAGTCCTCAATTTTGGTGCATCTCTTGCTAGCCAATTCCTTCAAGTTTCACTGAAATGGGAGTATCTACTGAGAAAATGCTTTGTCTCCAACCACTTTTGGTTCTTCCCGAATTATCCTACTTATCACTTCCCTCCTTTGCTAGCTGTCACATATACATATGCATGATGCCTCAGTGATAAACATAAGCAAATGTCATGCCAAAACAGTAATACAGAAGGGAAAATTGTGCAACTTTTAAGCCAAAGCAGTCAAATGGAGGTCAAATTGCATAACTCTCATGATAGGAAAAATTAAAATTGTGAAAAAATCAGGGCAGCTGTCATTTGTTCCCATGTAGGACCAAAAGAGATGTTGTGAAAGGATTTGAGACACATTCTGTTATTACTGTTTGTATTTCTAGAAGCACAGTACAGAAAACACTGCAAAGAGTAAGAGAGGGTGATGGTGGCACTAGCAAGACTGTAAGGCGTGAAAAGGGGCTTTGTCAATCTTGTCGGGTAGCTTTGTGGCCATTCCTGACAACCCAGAATAAAGTCACTCCAAGTTCAGACACAGCAAGCTACCGTGTATCAACCACCATAAAGCAAATCATGAGTAGGTTCATGACATGCTAACCCACTGTGGGTAAGTAGCCACACTGGATTGTTCTGTTGTCTGATTTCTGATTGTTCCTGCAGAATTGCTTCATGTGGAGAAACAAGCCACTCTGGCAACCCATTCTGTGAGCTGTGGGACCAGTGATTAGTTCTGCAGTCATCTGAATGTGGCAGAGAGATTTCACTGCGGTTATAATAAGTGACTAGCAAGCAGTTAGTAAGAGCAGCAAAACTCACTAGTTGTTATTTATTCCTTTATGTACTGCATGATATCTGAACTCTGAGAGGTTTAAGGGCAGTTCTCTTGCCTGTACTGCTACCAGTGACAACCTTCCACTGATGCCTTAGTGACATGTGGAGAGATTTTCAGTGATCACCACCTTTTTAAAAAGAAAATTTGGTGGCCAAAATGTGTGTAAATAGCATTTTTTGTCAGCCTGAGTTACTCAAGTGTGCTCTTTTGCCTTTCCGATACATGTAGACTTGCCTTGTTTATCAATTATAGCTTTCAAACAGTAACATAGTAAAAAGGCAGGACTACATACAGGCTACATTGCTAATAAGTGCCAGCTGTCAAGTGCCTAGCTTTCAATTTAAATGCACTGACAAAGAGAAAAGGGTGAATGTGAGTGCACCAAAATGGAGAGGACTGTAAAACTCCTCCCTGAATGGTAACCATCGGGGAATTAAGTGTTGAACTGACATTTCTTAGTGTTCTTTGGAATACTTCCTGAATCTTCATGCAAGGTTCAGAAAAGTGAGATCATAAGAGCACCTTTTTTCACAGTGTCTTTCTGGGGCGCTTGCTGTGGTTTATTGACAGCTATCAAAAATCTTTGAAAGGTGGATGAACAGGATGTAGTGATGAGGGACACCCCATTCACTCCATCCCATTCTGCAACCTCTAAGGATGGTGTCTGGGAAATTAGTTTTGTTGTTGTTTTGTTTTTAAATCAGGGAATTTACATGGATTTCATGGCTGCAAAGTAAATGGAAGAGACATATATTGCAAATGTGTTTGCCATTTACTTCCCAGTCAATTTTTAAAATTTCCCTTCAATTTACTTCCCCACTATGAAATCTGCATGTATTTTCCTGTCTAAAACAAGCAAATTCCCCAGGCACTTAAAAATAATTTTAAAAACTGTAAAGTTTTCAGAACTGATGTGAAAGCAGCAACTTCTGCATGAGACCCCAATTACTCCATTCCACCCTGTCATAATTTTTTGACAGCTGTAGAAAACTTCATAAGGAAAGAAAGAGATCCTGAAACTTCCTCTTACCTTCATTTCTAGAAGAACTATGCAACTTTCCTCGCCATCCCTTTATCTTTGTGAAATCATTTGTCTTCCCAGTTCTTGAAATAAAGGGAAGTCCAGTATCTTTTGGAGAAACACGGAGAATAAAAGACAGTCAAAGCATTTGATCAGTTGGAAGCATACATGAGAGAAAACACTCAAAATGAAGCACAGCACATTTTTACTGAGTTATAAAATCGCTGGCACATTTTGAGGTTTTCTGAGGAAAAGGTTAGATAAAAACTATTAGCAGATTATGTCAAAAATAAAAAAATAAAAATCAGAACTTTAAATGCAGTCCAATCCTACCCAGTAAGCCACAATTAAACTGGTGTGCCACATTCTGCACATATAAGCCTCTAAACATAAACCTACAAAACTGAGCAGTTAACACAATACTGAACAGATGATAAATGCTAAACCTTCAGTTTCACACAAGTATTCATGATTTGTTCTAAAACAAAATGGTTTCAAATAATATCTAAAGATGATTTCCTACTGACTGTACCCAGTGGCTTAACATGTCATCCAAACCTGGATGACAAGATGAAACTTAAAGGACTCTCTTAGCCAGCAGAGCAAAGAAGTGCTGACAGTTTGGTCAACAGGCTCCAGCTTTGTCATCAGGTTCCCCTGGGCTTCTTCAATTCCACTCTCCCTCCAATATTGACAGGGCCCAGTGGAAGCCCCTCGGCTCCTCTGTGCCATGCCTCTCTAGGCCCCGTTCTGGATCTGGGGAGGTGGCGTGTGGCAGAAGAACCAGCCACTTGGTCTCACACCCTTGTTAAGCGGCTGGGTCCTGGCTGCTGCAAGTGAACAAACCACTTTGCTTGCCTTCCTTTCTGGTGGGAAAAGGGGGAAATAGGGCAAGAAGTGTCCTTTCTTGTCACTTCTCCTGTGCACCTGCTCCTTTCCAAGGAGCAAGCCCATGAGACAGACTGCATTGCAACCTGCCCTGCCTCACCTTACACACATTACATTCCCAAGATCCAGTAAAGACTTGGGAAGGGGCACAGATCCTGCCTACTGCTGCTGCTGAGGCAGTAGCAAGCATGAAGAAATGATCTGCTTGCATTCCTTGAGCGTTTCCCAGTGGGAAAGGGGGAAATGAGATAGGGGTCTGAGTGTGCCTCCCTCCCTTCCAAGACGAAAGGTTGCAAGGCTGATGCTACCAGTGCCTGCCCGATAACACCTTCTCAAGACTCAGAGGGGACATGGAAAGAGGCTTATGGCAGACACTGCCCCACCCTCCCAAGGAGACTCAGTTGAATATACCCCTGTCTCAGTATACCATAGCTGAGCAGCAGAAGGCACCACGTGCAGTGTCTGTTCGGCTTTGGTGCACTACAGCTAAGCGATGGCTTACCTTCTACAGGGCTTTCAAGTGCTGTGAGAGGTGGCCCTTTCCTTTCTTACCCCCTGCTCCAGGTTTCCCTATCTAACATTTCTGCCAATGCCAGAAGAGGGCTGCTCGTGAGCAATCTTGCTCCTGGCATTAGCAGAAGCACTGGGCAGTGAAATGAACAGTAGTTGCCAAAAATGGCAACCTTTGGTCACTGTTCTTCTGTTACCCTTAGTACTCTTGTAATATATCCTGGGATACTGCAAAAGGACCAAGTGAGAAAGAGGAGAGAAAAGGGGGAACAGCATTGGTCAGGTACAAGGAGTTATTCACAGGGAGGTTAATTTGTCATGCAAATCCTCCCACTGTGTTACCAAACTTTAAATATTATTGCATTAAGAAAGAAGCTGACTTACCAGTAGAACTGGAATTGATCCCTATGTTTTTCCACAAAGTGTAGTCATCTGAATAACTAAGTGGCAGCTGCACACCCAAATATTTTAGATCGATGCTCATTGTTGGGTCCACAAAATTCAGCTTTAGTCCCACTGCAAGGAGAAAACGTCAACTAAATATTTTATACATCTATGAAAATTGTTATAAAGCTATATGTTTGTATTATATAGGTTTGCTGAAAATACAAATCTGTATAAACCACGGAATGCCACTGCTTCTACTCTGGGCCAATAATCCATTTCCTAGAATACAAAGATAACACACCAATCATTTCTACCATCCCTCACCCCTCCAGTATGAATTCATCCATCATCTTTAAGCATAATTAAGTATTAAATAAGCATTTTATTAATAGGATTAACATAAACCAAGTTCCCACTGAAATTTAATGTTGTACTAGGAAACATTTCATTCTAATTTCAACTCAAAGTTAGGAAGAATCCTAGGTAGTTTTAAGTATGGCTTTAAAGTGATCAAAAGGGTGCTTACACTCCAACCAAATTCTCCTGCATGCCTCAAGTTCCCTTCTGCAAGTGGTGCCCACTTTTTAATGGAGTTCTACTCACATGCCTCCTTCCAGAAACAAATATTTCTGCTTGTTTCAGAGCTTTCTCTAGAAAGTGCTAAATCTTCCTTGTGCAAATGGTAGGGTCCCACTTGCACAATGTTATCATAAGGATGGATTGTTTTGCAGAAGAGAATTGGTGAAGTATAAGGAGCCTGTTGGATTAACCCCCTGCTAACCATTGTGCTCATGTAACACAATGACATAGTTAATGTTGATGTTGCAAGGATAAGGGGAATGTATATTGGAAAGAAGAGGGACTAGGGCAGACCTGGGCATTGTACGGCCCGCGGGCCACATCTGGCCCGATGGCTGACCCTGACGGGCCCGCATGAGGTCACTGGCAAATTAAACGTCGATGCAAATCTATATCGTCATAATATAGATGCAAGTAATACAACTGCACTGCTTTTATTTTGAAGGATCTGCTAAATTGAATTGAATTTATTGCTCCTCATGTAATGTTAATGTTTTTGTGAATATTCATTAAATAGTGTTGTTCTGTGCTCCACATTTTCATTGTATCATTATAATGTTTCATTTACTGTTTTTATAGAGATATATATTGAGCAGAGCTGTAAGTGTATTGGTCCGTCCCTTAACAACTGTCAAAGTTTCTCATGTGGCCCCATAGGAAAATTAATTGCCCACCCCTGGGCTAGAGGAATAAAAATTTCGCAACTCACACCTGATTATCTTAACAATGGTTTTAAGCATCACCAACATTATGCTGTTATCAGTCCTAACTTTGCTTTTTACATTTCATTTATTATGACTTGGAAATTCAGCTCCAGTATTGCAGAATACAGCCCCACCAATTTTTCCTTATATCCTTATTCCACTCTGTGCCCTACCACATACTGATCCAGAGGATTTTTGACCACAGGACAGGCTTTTCAAAAGGAAGAGCCAAGAAAGTCCACTGTTGTATAAAAGTTCTGTTCTAAGTGTTATTTATGGCTAGGCTCAACTGTCAAGACTCTTATTTGTTCCTCCTTTGGAAACCCATATACTGTTGTGATAACATAAGTAACGTATTGACAATGTGAAAACATATGCAATACAGAGCAGAGTTGCGATCTGGTAAATATGTTTGTCCCAGTGTCTTCCTGATTGCTAGCATTTCCAGCTACTGTTTTTAGCCTTGTTTATTGTTTTAATTGGTTTTACTGTGTTATGATTTTATCTTGTAAACTGTTTTAGGAATTTTTTAAATATAAAAAGTGGTACAGAAATTACCTGAAATAGATAGATGGGTAGATGTGGAGAAAAATGGGAGAGGTCAGGATCTCTGCTCTGATTTAACAAGATAAAGTTACCCTTTCTTTAGTTTTCAAAGTGGTTAACTGGCCAAGAAGACAGATGCCACAAGATTAATATTTCTTTATTTCAGTTGAATAAATGGTCTGTTTTTAGAGGACACTACATCCCAAAGTATTAGTCAATCAAGAACCCATTGACACAAACAACATATATTCTGACAGCAGTGAAAAGGACAATGTAATTAAGATCCCAGCATTTTTGATCAATAGAATTATGTGGCAAGTAATATGTGCATGAGCAGCACTACTAAACAACCATTACAGTGTGGGCCCTTGGAAGGTGACTGAGGGTTTCTAGTGTTCTCTTAGCAGAATAGGAAGAAACTCCTCACACAGGAAAGGTAACATGAAAGCGACTCTTCCTTTTTTTCCCCTTTTTCATTTTTTTAAAACAGAACATAAATACAATTGGAATACAAATATTCTTCAAAATATACCAATATTAGTAACTAAATTAACAATAAACACTATGCACCCGTCCCCAGGAGACCAATTGGTGATACCTCCATTTCACTTCATATATTGTAATAATTAACAATATATAATGTACTTTAATTATAGGCCTATTCCCTCCAAAAATTCATGTATTCTTGATTAGGCTTACAGCCTTTCCCTTCCATCAGTACTGCTTTTACAAAATCTTCCCGAATTTCATTATATTTATTTACTTGTATTATCACTTTTTAAATTTTTATTTCTGTTGTCAATTTATCATTAACAACCATATTCCATATTTCATTATACCATTCATTCCGTTGTATATCCCAATTCTGTTTCCATTATTTAACCATTATTAACCTGACTGTCATTATCAAGTTTAGAATCAATTCTTTCTTAGCTTCATTTATATCCTGATTTTCAATCAGCAACAATAAGGCAATTTTTGGTGACATTTCTAAATTTATGTCTAGAATTTCTCTAATTTCATTAAACACCATAGCCCATTTCTTTTGTATATTATCATAGTCCCACCACATATAAGTTCAAATCTCTTTTTCACATCTCCAACTGGTATTAGAATATTCATCATCAATTTGGTTTAACTTAACTGGTGTTAAATACCATCTCCATATCACTTTATATCCATGTTCTTTAATTCTAACTGACATATTCTTATATACTCTTCTATTCCAAATATTCTTAAAGCCTCATCATTTATTTCACCAACGTCCATTTCCCAAATTGATTTTAAACTTTTTGTCTGAACCCCTAATTCTATTAATATTTTATAAATGTTAGCAATTCTTCCTTTACCTGTATATTCTTCCTTAATCTCACATTCTTTTATAATCGTTACAAATTTTGTTGTCTTTCTTCCTTTTTCAATTTTCCCTCCATCTTTATCCATTTTTCTAATTGTATTAAATTTAACCAATTTAATTTGGCTTCTGCCAATACACTCCTTGTGTTATATTTTTTTATCTTATTTTTCCAGTCTTTCCATTTATATATTTGATTATTTTTAGTTTATTAATCCAATCCTTTGATTCTATTTTTGGGAATTTCTCCATTTCAACCAATGGTGTTAACAAAGAAATTCCGGGCGTTAATTGCTGTCTCCATTTTTCCCATAATTCCATCGTATTTTTTAAAAAAGGATTTAGAATTCTCTTGATAGTCTTTTTTATATTCTTTTTAAACCTGTATGTCTCTAAGGGTTCACCTATTTCCCTTAATTATTGTAATTCAATATCACTCCATATTAGTTCTTTGCTTTGGACTATAATATCTGGAACTATCTTTTATTGATTTGCAACCCAATACTTTTAACATGTGGAATACCCATTAATTTTTGCATTTGCGCTGCATATTCATCATCATCAACAATTCCAAGCTCCTTTAATAACTTCAGCACTTCCTCCTTTGTATCAACTCTGTAATCTTTTCCATTATATGAAAACCTCAGAAAAATCGCAAACCCTCAGCTATATTTAATGGAATTCTTCTTTAATATTTGACAAACTTGGAACATATCTCTCCTTCATTGCATAGTCTCAGTACATAAATCAGGAAACACTTGAATCTGGTAACCTTCGAACATGATTGATGTCATATTCTGTAATTTCCGTCTCAATTGTTCTTTTTTGCATATGACCAGAATCGGACTACAATGTCTCTCGCTGTTCTTCTTCCAGGTCTTCTTGGGCCAACTCTATGTATTGCATCAGTATCATATCTTGTAAAGGAAACATTCAGAAGAATAGATTTAGCCCAATCCAGTACTGATTGAATGAGTTCATTCTCATTCCGATCCTCTTGATATCCTTTAAGGTGTAAATTTGATCTTCATTGTCTATCCCCGGATCTCAGTCACACTTTTTGAGACCTGATCTATCTTAGTCATCTGATTTTATCTTGTTCTTCCATCTGAATTTTCACTCCTGAAATTGTTTAGTCTCTTGAATGTGTTTAATTAAATCTTTTATTTCAACACCTATATTATCCATTTTGGCATTTAATTGCTTAATATCCTCTTTCATACGAGTCTTCGTTTCTCTGAATTCCTGTAAAAGTAAATCAAGCTTGTCTAGTTGTGTCGACGGTCGAGATGTTGGTATTGATTTTTCCAGTGATTATCTCTTTTCCCCATTCATTTCACAACTTTTCTCTACTCTTTTCAAATGCAAATCTGATAGGTGAAGTTTCATGTTGGATCTTTGCCAGATGCTTTCTGCACTCTTCCTACGTTTTGACATCCAGCTACCAGAGCAAGTTTTAAATTCGTAATAATATTTAATGATCCACAGTTATTTAATATCCAACAAGGAGGAGAGAACTTTTGAATTTAGTAATAACTTATATACAGACCACAATTGCAATTTAGCTTTCAATCAGCATATAGATCTCTTGATTTTCAACAGCTGCAATTTAACACCTAGCCTGCAGAGGGAGCTCAAGGATTGCTATTAACAAAATACAGTCTTGTATGTGTTTCGTCCTTTTCCTCAGACCGTATATTTCAATACGTTACTTCCTCTTTTTGTTGTTTCTTATCTCTTATCTCCATAGCAGCAAAGTAACACCGAGAAGCTAATCCTGGGACATTAATTAACTTTGAAGTACGTACCTCGCTTGCTAGTTGCATCCGACCCATCACAACCCCATGGACAACACTCCTCCAAGTCTTCCTGTCCTCCACCATTCCCCGGAGTCCACTCAAGCTCATTGCTTCAGTGACTCCATCTAGTCACCTCATTCTCTGCCATCTCCTTCTTCTTTTGTCATCAATTGTTCCCAGCATTTGGGTCTTCTCCAGGGAGTCTTTCCTTCTCATTAGGTGGCCAAAGTATTTGAGTTTCACCTTCAGTATCTGGCCTTCTGAAGAGCAGTCAGGGTTGACGTCCTCTAGGACTGACTGGTTTGATCGCCTTGCAGTCCAAGGGACTCGCAGGAGTCTTCTCCAGCACCACAATTCAAAGGCCTCAATTCTTTGGCGCTCAGCCTTCCTTATGGTCCAGCTTTCACAGCCAAACACTGCAACTGGGAAACCATAAAACCATAGCCTTGACTATACACATTTTTGTCAGCAGCGTGATGTCTCTGCTTTTTAGTATGCTGTCTAGATTTGCCATAGCTTTGCTCCCAAGGAGCAAGCATCTTTTAATTTCTTGGTTGCAGTCACTGCCTGCCGTGATCTTGGGAGTCCAGGAAAATAAAATCTGTCACTACTTCCATTTCTTCCCCATCTATTTGCCAGGAAATGGTAAGACCGGATGCTATGATCGTTTTCTTGATCTTGAGTTTCAAGACAACTTTTGCACTCTCCTCTTTCGCCCACATCAGGAGGGTTTAGTTCCTTTTCACTTTCTGCCATAAGAGTATTATCTGCATATCTGAGGTTGTTGATATGTCCAAATATTTTCATTTTCAGCACCTTCTTGGCCTTCCAGCTGTGCTGGGGGAAGGAGGGAAGTCTGGAGCGATCTTCTTTTCAGTTGTTCAAAAACAAACAAACAAACAAAAAACCTCTACCTTTTCCCCCACTCTTCAAGCTGCTTTTAAGCTTTTTATAACAAGCAGCTGAGGTGTTTATAGCATGAGCACTGTTTCTGAATCCACAAACAGCAGAGGTGCAGCTTACTCTGGACCAGGCCCAGCAGTTTCAGATTACAAAAACAGCTCTTAGTCCACATCTGTGTTCCAAATCTTCCCAGGAGAGAGACAAAAGAATTAACTATGTTTCATGCATTTTCAGTATTGATCTTAATTTGAGTATATTTTAATCATATTTTTCCTGATGGTCAGGAGGATTAAGAATTCAGTGTCCAGAGTCCATCTGAGCTAGCTCCGCCCCCCCATGAAAATGACTGTTCTGTGCAGCCCCAGGGTATGTTTCACCAAATACTTCCACAAAGTACCATGCAAATCCTGTTGATACCAAATGGAGAATTTGCAGCAACAGAACTTTGTAGGTTACAGTCCTGTTCTCCAATGTGGGTTTTGCCATCGGTATTAACTATGAGATACTACTGTGTTACCCTACCCCCTTATTATTATTTTGTTGGAAAGAGAAGTGAATATACTGGTACAAGTTGCTGATCTGTTTATATTCCATCTTATTTTAATTGCAAAATATCAAAGGTTGTTGAGCTTTGCACATTGTGCAACTCATTCAATTTATTATACTAACAGAACATGTTACTATATATATGGTGATGTAAAACTGCCTTGTGAGCTTTGGCTATGGGGCAGTAAAGGAATGAAAATAACCACAACAACTGTTCCATGGAACTTACACCTACCTTCTTGAAGACTAGGATGTATCACTTGTTTGTACTTAAAAGACTTCAGATCTTCCAACAATTCTTTTTCCAGCTGTTGTATCCTTTGCACATCTGTCAAATACATTTTTCTTTAATATACCTTATTATCTTTACCATTTCTGATTCACCTACCTAAGCAAAAACCATCCCCGCCCTGAGCCCACAAACCAGATGGGGTGATCTGCAAATATACCACATTCCCCTCTGCCAAACACTAAGGAGAGAGAGGGGCTGAAAATGGCAAGTCTGCACAGCACAGCACTCACTGCTGATGCTTCTCCTTGTCTCCCTCCCACAACTAAAATTGTTCAATCTGGGAAGGAGAAAGAAGCTCAGGCTCTAGACAATGCTAAGTAGACCGGGTAGGGGCATTTAAATTCTCTTAGGCAGTGACCAGAAATTAAAGCAAATGTAACTAGTCAGCTAGGAAAATTCAGTAACCACAGATAGACTCAAACTAAGTCAAAAAAGAGGGAGAAAGAAACAGCCGCTTAAAACCAAATTCGATGTGCAAGTTTTTAAAAAGTGCAAATTGCATCAGATGCAAAAGCTGGTAACAGACCAGACAGATTTAAATAGAGCGGACTACTTAGAGAGGTGGATGACTCTGTATGTGGAAGCATTCAAACACATCTGTAAGGGATACTTTGAACAGGACCCCTGCACTGACTTGTTGGCCTAAACAGCCCCTTCAACTTGATCATGGTGGAATTTGACAACAAATCAAAATTTAACCAGATGCATCTACTCAATTAAGCACCTGGATTACCATGTTTTCCAAACCTAGGAGACTGATCCAATCGTGGACTGTGGGAATTGGCAAGCAACCCACCTGACAAGAATGTCAAAAAAACTCTTGCCACTCTTGTCTAGACCAGTGGCAGCTGATCCAACAATGTCCAAGTGGTACTTTGAAGCATCCACCACTGGCTTGGTTTCCATGATCTGCTTGTGACCCCCTTTTTGATCACTGCCACAGCATCCCCGTCCTTTCTGTACATGCTTTTTATGGTCTCTGCCAGTGACAGCTCCTTAAGTACAATCAAGCAGCATACCGGAGTGGCTGTCTAGCTTTCTTTGAATTTATTTTTAGGCATCCTGGAGCTGCACATTATAAAAAAATTAATTTATGTTTTATTCAGAACTATGTTAGTGCACACTTGCTGGTGGCAGAAATGAAAAGATTTGCCTCCTTGGTACTAGCTGTCAAAGGACAGTACACAGGCATGAGAGCAAGCAACAAACAAATAGGTTATCTGGTTACTCTTCTTCTTAACTGACCATTGTCAAATGTACAGTGAAGTCATGAAAAAGAATTTTGCTTGTGAAATGGCCCAGCAAGTATATCACCACCTGTACAACTGCTAGTTCTGAAGTGTATACCTGACAGTTCTCATTGTCTTTCCCCTTTTCTAAGACTCTAGACATTTAGGAAAGGGAAAGAGTGCATTTATGGGAGTTTTCACAGCTATTAAATGAAACAATTTCTTTTCTAACAAGGGATTTTCACAAGGTTTCTGACAAGGAAAAATGAAGCAATCAAATTTATATACTGTTAAAGACTGTAAAATCACCCACTGCCCTATTAAAATTACTCTTTTTGAAGGGACCAGGTGTTTTACCGGCTAAGTGTCAGAACTTATGTCTAAGGCGCAAAGGGGGTATACTTTTGCAGCTTCTGAGCACCTGGAGAATTATGAAAAAGTGCAAAGTATGGAAACAAAACAAAGTGGGGAATCTTTCCACCAATGGGGCTATAAATTATATCATCACATTTTCTTGAGCAATGATGAGTTGTGCCTTTGGTTTTTCTTGATGAATTGCCCTTTGATAGCTGTCAAGAAAAACTAGGAAGGGGGCTATTGGAAGTCTCTTCCAGGCAATGTCCAGGGTTGGTATTTGCTGTAAGTTGGCAGTAGGCACCCTCCAGGACATTATCCCAGCTGGCTTCAAATACCCCACTCACACAAGTACAGTTATTTTAAAAAGTGCTTTGCACAATTATTTTTTTCCTAAAAGAGTTCTGATGGCCCCTCCAAGGACACTTTGAAGGGGCTGCTGGTAGCTGTCATAAAAGGAAAAGAAGCCACTTGCTTGCTTGCTAGTTGTGAAGTCACGTCTGACCCATTGCAACCCCATGGACAACACTCCTCCAGGCCTTCCTGTCCTCCACCATCCCCCGGAGTCCACTCAAGCTCACACTAACTGCTTCAGTGACTCCATCCAGCCACCTCATCCTCTACTTTAGCCTTCTTTTGCTGCCAATTGTTCCCAGCATTTGGGTATTCTCCAGTGAGTCCCTTCCTTCTCATTAGGTGGCCAAAGTATTTGAGTTTCACCTTCAGTATCTGGCCTTCTGAAGAGCAGTCAGGGTTGATGTCCTCTAGGACTGACTGGTTTGATCACCTTGCAGTTCAAGGGACTCACAGGAGTCTTCTCCAGCACCACAATTCAAAGGCCTCAGTTCTTCGGCACTCAGTCTTCCTTCTGGTCCAGCTTTCAAAGCCGTACACTGCAACTGGGAAAGCCATAGCCTTGACTATACGCACTTTTGTCAGCAGCGTGATGTCTCTGCTTTTTAGTATGCTGCCTAGATTTGCCATAGCTTTGCTCCTAAGGAGCAAGTGTCTTTTAATTTCTTGGCTGCAGTCCCCGTCTGCAGTGATCTTGGAGCCCAGGAAAATAAAATCTGTCACTCCCTCCATTTCTTCCCCATCCATTTCCCAGGAACTGATAGAACTGGATGCCATGATCTTAATTTTCTTGATGTTGAGTTTCAAGCGAACTTTTGCGCTCTCCTCCTTCACCTACATCAAGAAGCTCTTTAGTTCCTCTTCACTTTTTGCCATCAGAGTGGTATCATCTGCATATCTAAGGTTGTTGAGATTTCTCCCAGCAATCTTAATTCCAACTGGTGATTCATCTAGCCCCGCCTTTCTCATGATGTGCTCTGCATAGAAGTTAAATAGGCAGGACAACAGTATACAGCCTTGCCGAACTCCTTTCTCAATTTTGAACCAATCAGTGGTTCTGTGTCCAGTTCTCATTGTTGCTTCTTGACCCACATATAGGTTTCTCAAGAGACAAATAGGATGGTCTGGTACTCCCATATCTTTAAGAACATGCCACAGTTTGTTGTGATCTACACAAAAAAAAAGGCCTTAGCATAGTCAATGAAGCAGATGTTTTTCTGAAACTCCCTAGCTTTCTCCATGATCCAGCGTATGTTGGCAATTTGATCCCTAGTTCCTCTCCTTCTTCAAAATGCTGTCTGTACTTCTGGTTGTTCTCAGTCCACATACTGCTGGAGCCTAGCTTGTAGGATTTTGAGCATCACTTTGCTAGCATGTGAGATGAGTGCAATGGTGCGGTAGTTTGAACATTCTTTGGCATTGCCCTTCTTTGGAATCGGAATGTAAACTGACCTTTTCCAATCCTGTGGCACTGCTGAGTTTTCCAAATTTGCTGGCATATTGAGTGTAGCACTTTTACTGCATCGTCTTTAGGATTTTGAATAGCTCAGCTGGAACACTGTCTCCTGCACTAGCTTTGTTGTTACTCAGACTTCCTAAGGCCCATTTAACTTCACATTCCAGGATGTCTGGCTCGAGGTCAGCGACCACCCCATTGTGGTTATCAGGGATGATCAGATCTTTCTTGTATAGTTCTTCTGTGTAATCTTGCCACCTCTTCTTAATCTCTTCTGCCTCTGCTAGGTCCCTGCCATTTTGGCCCTTTATCGTGCCCATCTTTGCATGAAACGTTCCCTTCATATCTCCAATTTTCTTGGAGAGATTTCTAGTCTTTCTTATTCTATTGTTTTCTTCTATTTCTTTACACTGTTAATTTAAGAAGGCATTCTTATCCCCTCTAGCTATTCACTGGTATACAAGTATCCTGGGAGACAACCACATGAGGACCAAATATTCTAATGTAACTCTGAGCTATTCTGGCCTCTCTGTGGCTTCTTTGCACTTTAGAACAGCCCATAACACCAAAAAATAATGTCCTTATCATCATGGGAGATTGGAATGCTAAAGTAGGAAGCCAAAAGGTAACCAGAATAAGAGGCAAGTTTGGCCTCGGAGTACAAAACAAAGCAGGGTAAAGGCTGGTAGAATTTTGTCAAGAAAATACGCTGGTCATAGCAAACACTCTTTTCCAACAATCCAATAGATGACTCTACACGTGGACATCACCAAATGGTCAATACAGAAATCAGATTGACTATGTGATCTGCAGCCAAAGATGGAGAAGCTCTGTGTAGACAGTAAAAACAAGACCAGGAGCTGACTGTGGCTCAGATCAAGAGCTTCTTGTTGCAAAATTTAGGCTTAAATAGAAGAAAGTAGGGTATACTCAGGTATGACTTAAATCATATTCCATATGAATATACAGTAGAGGTGACAAATAGATTTAAGGAATTAGATCTGATAAACAGAGTGCCTGAAGAACTATGGACAGAGGTTCGCAACATTGTACAAGAGGTAGCAACTAAAACCATCCCAAAGAAAAAGAAATACAAGAAAGCAAAATGGCTGTGTGAGGAAGCTTTACAAATAGCTGACGAACGAAGGGAAGCGAAAGGCAAGGGAGAAAGGGAAAGATACACCCAACTGAATGCTTGTATCCTGGGAGGGCAGAACATGCTCCAACAGAGCGAAGCTCAAGGAACCAAGGTTCAGTCTGGATGCCAGGAATTACTTCCTGACATTTAGTACCCCAAGGGTATGGAATGGCCTTCCATGAGAGGTGGTTGAGGCACCATTGGTGAGGGTGTTCAAAGATAGGCGAGACGTGCACATGGTAGGCATGTTGTGATCGGAGCCTGCTGGAGCCAGGGGTCAGACTACATGACCCAGGAGGCCCTTTCTGACTCATTCTGTTTCTATGTTTGCAGGATTATTGTGAAGGAAAAAGTGAATTAAAACCCATGGTGAATCTCATCATCTGACAGGTCCACTACAGACTTTTTCATCAACAGATTGATGCGATATGTGAATACACCTACTGAGTGGGTAAGACTTTTCATTTTGGTTATGTGCAAGTGCGCACTTCCAACTATTGAACAATGGCATTATGAAAGTGTTTGCACAGATTTGGAATATCTAAAAATGGTAGCAAACCAGTACCATTTGCCTAATTGGCAGCTTGGGAACTCTGGAGGGTCTGTTAGTGGCTGTCACAGAACAGACTATTGAAAGAAAAAAAGGGAACAAGCCAAGCAGCTACAAAAAATGGGTCAGGAACAGAATGATCCAGTGACAGATGCTCCAAAGAGCCTCGGGCATTACAAGAGTATCAGTTACGAGGATGGGCATGGGCAAGCTCAGAAAGAGCACCAAGGATTTTTCATACTCTTGCCAAGTGGTTTACTTGCCACTTCCCACAACTTCAGCTGGGTCAGCTTTGGCTTCAACAATTGCTGCCATGAGCAGGGGGAAATCAGTGTGGTTTATTGCTTCAAGATAAACCACCCTGTGGGAAATGGTCTGATTTCATATGACAAGAGCCCTGCATGGCTAGTTATCTACGACTGCAAACCCAGTCATTGTCTTTGTCACTTAATTCGTCCATCTTGCATGGCTCCAATCCTCTACTACATAAACAAAGCACAAACACACAATCCAGCTTGTGACTTTTGTCAGATAAACAAGACACTCAAAGTACGTAACTTTTCAGATGATGAAAGAGATTGAAAAATGCAATGAATTCCTATGATTGATTGTTAGTTAATTCAATATGTGTGAGCACAGGAGCCATACATTCATTTTATGAGCTTGGAATTTTAATGAGAATTAAAATTCTAGCAATCATTTTAGCAATTATTTTAATCAGAAAATTAATATTTTATTCATTTAAATAAAAACAATTTAAAATTTTGAAATAATTTAATTTTTCAAGTACAATAGGACATCTGTATCTGCTGATTCAGTTACCACATTTGCACTTAACCTTGGCTGAAAGAGAAGTCATAAAGTGCCAAAGAGAAGTCATAATGTGCTTCCTGTAAGTGAAAATTCTTGCTTTAATAGGGAAAAAAAAGAATTGTATGCCAAGAATGAATGAAATTTTGAAAAAAGAAATGTACTGTACTGAAAAAAGAAATGTACTGTACATAGCATGGGTCCTCACTTATGGCCCACAAGCTGGATCCAGCCTGCCATGCCCATTTATCCAGCCCGCCTCAGAGATTTTGGACTCCCTGCGTCAACGCGCGGCGAGGCAGCAGCTTGCTCATTCGGAGATCGTTTTGGACTCGCTTGCTCACCCGCTTCCACTACCACCTCACCGACCTGCGCCCACAGGCAACCCCTCACCAGCCCACACCTGCCGTCACCACCTTTCAATTGGCCCCCCGTTGAAAAAGTTTGAGGACCCCTGGTATATAGCATATAATATATATAATATAGTATTCACTATTATCCATGGTTTCAGGCATCTGTTGAGAGGCTTGGAATTTATCAGTGTAGATATGGGGGTCTTGCTGTATTGGTTTTTATATACTGGCTGATGGATAACTGGATCTGAGCAGGCATCAAAGGAGAATTTAATTCTTTCACCTCCTGCTACAATAAAGAAAATCCCCTTTCTTAAACTGTATTTGCATTGGAAGGAAATCCATCATTAGTATCAGTGGGGGATTCCATGGTCACTCCAAGTAATATAAAGTTTAGAATGTATTTTCATCATTACTGGAATCAAGGGTAAAATTCCCCTTTAATGTTTCCTCCAAAAGCAATCCTGAAAATTATCAGTAATCCCTGTACAGCTGATGCAATTTGCATTTTAAAAAGCATGCTTCTAGTCTGGTTATTTTTACTCAAATACAGCAGGGAAGAAAGGGGTTAATTTCCCCTTCCATGTCTGTTTTGATCCTGTAAATTATCTTTCTGCTCCTCCCCCATTTGATGCAATTGACATTTTAAAAAACCTCAGCTAGCTAACATAACTTTTGTTGTTACCTGGATCAATATATGGACTGCAAGAACCCAGTGAAAGAGACTGTTTATTTGGCAATTCTTTTTCTTCGGCTCTATCAACAGTGTGAATATCCAGAGCTTCCTGTGTATAAAATAAAATACAAGTCTTGCCAAAATGCTATTCAAGGCTTATAAAACAAAGGCCACTTAGGAAACTATAAATGGATAACAATTCTAAAGCAAGCTGTTCAAGATATGAATATCAGAACAGAAGCCTCACTCATGATATAAATCATAGCACTTAATTCTTAATTCTTCAATACTTTCATAATTTAAAAAAACCCACAAAACCAGCCTTAAGCAAATACTTAGTTTCCAGGCTTCAGTACCAAAAAGGAAATGCATCTGGTTTGTAACTACAATTCTTATTATTTATTCTATTTATTTATTCAATTTATATGCTGCCCCATTAGCCATAGGCTCTCTGGGCAGCTTACAACATGTTAAACACTTAGAATGCTACCAGGTAATTTTGAAAGTCCAATCAAATATAGATTTACCTTGGATGCAAAGGATACAAAAAGCATTCCATCCACATCTTCAAGATCAGGCTTAACATCCAAATGGGTATTCCCAGATGCCAAAGGCGTATAATTACTTGTTTTGATGGGCTTTTCTGTATATTTTGGTGGTCTCCCAACTCCAGGAAACTTTATTTTCCGTGGTCTTCCTCTTTTACGTGGGGTAGGTATCCCAACTTTTTGGTTACCAACAATACTCTTGCAGGAAATAATATTCTTCAATGTATTTGTCTTCCCCAGTCCAGAGATAACCTTAGTTAAAGAAGGGACATTGTATGCAGTGGTCTTGAGACTACAGTCTGAGACTTTCTTTGTTATGGTGAGGCTGGTAGATGTTTCAGTATTGTTCCATAGTATTTCTTTTACTGAAGAATATTTCTGTGTCAAATTTTCAGGTAACTCTTTCTCTGTTGAGATGTGCTCTGCTTCCATGGTTGAAAAAGGTCTGGAGATAATGTTGTTTTCAAAACAAATAGGCAAAGAATCCACAGAATCGCTCAAAGATTTTTCATTCCTGGAAGGTGACAACATAGTGTGTGAAAGAGCAGAGACCTTTACTGTATTCCTAGTGACTGCACAGGGCTCTAGATACACTACAGGCATCTTTCCACTATCTAGCTTTAGCATTTTTGCTTTGGCAACACCCAACTGGCTTGCCTGTGGTTGCTTCTCAGATCTAATTTCAATTTCCTTTTTGCTCATTTCAGTGTTTCTCTTCAGCTGTTGCTCCAGTATGGAATCATTTTTATTAGAATAATCCACTGCCATATTATCTGCTTCTTCCTGCTTCACATTTATCTCATCCATACACACACTTGGTCCATATTCATAGTCATCAACTGGCTCTTCTTTAATAACAACACTGATGTCTCCATTGGAGTTCAGTGGAGATGCTACATGAGAGGTGCTTTGACAAGGGCTAGCCACTGAACTGGATAAGATAAAAATAAAAATGGTAAATGGGGAAAATATACAGTTTAAAAAGCATAAACAACATCTCTCCATTACACTTTAAGACCTATATAAGTGACATATAGAGAGAAAGTGAAAGTGAAGAACTGTAATTCAGGTAACTACACAACATTTTAATGGCATCACTTTCATGTACAGTGGTACCTGGCTCATGAACAAATTGGGTCATGAACAAAAATTACTGAAAAATTTTTACTTGAGTCGCGAACACTGCTTTGGGTGGCGACCAAGTTCACAGTCATCTTTCCCCCCACACCACCCCAGGTGAGGAGATGGCCACGATCGCAGTTCCATTCGTGCAGGGAAGGTGTCCGTGATCAGAGGCGCATGGCTGCACTAAAGACGGGTGCAGCAAAGCAGAGCCGCGAATCTGCTTGTCATTTGTGCAGCCATATGCCTCTGATCACCATGCCTTCCCTGCATGGTAGCAACTGTGATCCATGATCAGAGGAGCGCGACTGCACTAACTACGGGTGCAACAAAGCAGAGTCACGAATCCGCTTGTCATTCGTGCCTCGCTCAGCCAGCCACGGCCCCATCCTTCACCTCGCCTCACAAAGAAGCCCTTACCTCCCTCCTCATGGCCCTCTCCCGGCCAGGATAGCCACCCCACGCTCGCCTCTCCAGCCTCCCACTCCAGGTCCCTCAGAATCAGGGCGGTGGCAAGGACTATAATTTCCATCATGCCCAACCAGCATGGCCATTGGAAGTTGTAGTCCTACCCATCTAGACAGTACCAATTTTAGCAAGGTTGCACTTAAAATATGGTAGTCAGTAGCTCTGCATCCAAATACAACCACTGTGTATTGTGAGAATTGTTCTGGGCTGACTTGCTTCAAATACTAAGAGTGGCATTAACAGACGGTGACTGCAGCCAAGAAATTAAAAGATGCTTGCTCCTGGGGAGGAAAGCTATGGCAAATCTAGACAGCATACTAAAAAGCAGAGACATCACGCTGCCAACAAAAGTGCATATAGTCAAGGCTATGGTTTTCCCAGTTGCAATGTATGGCTGTGAAAGCTGGACCATAAGGAAGGCTGAGCACTGAAGAATTGAGGCCTTTGCATTGTGGTGCTGGGGAAGACTCCTGCAAGTCCCTTGGACTGCAAAGAGATCAAACCAGTCAGTCTTAGAGGAGATCAATCCTGACTGCTCTTTAGAAGGCCAGATACTGAAGATGAAACTCAAATACTTTGGCCACCTACTGAGGAGGATTCACTGAAGAAAACCCAAATGCTGGAAACAATTGACGGCAAAAGAAGACGGGGACAGCAGAGGATGAGGTGGCTAGAAGGAGTCACTGAAGCAGTTGGTGTGAGCTTGGGTGGAGTCCGGGGGATGGAGGACAAGAGAGCCTGTAGGAATGTTGTCCACGAGGTTGTGATGGGTCAGGCACGACTTCACGACTAACATAACATAACCTTGCTTTTCCCTTTTTATTCTAACACAGGAGTAGCAGGGAAAATATGACTTGCAGCAGCTCTGGGGCAAGAGGGAAGTGGTGTCAAGATTGCCCAAAGTTGCCCACCTCTGTTCTAGCAGAGAAACCATACTGCAGCCTTTATAACAGAAATCCAGTTTAACAGGATACAAATCATCTTCGGTCTAGGTACATGAAGGCCTAGGAAAAATCCAGAAAAATAGGGAAGAAAAAAAGTGTGTGTGTCCCCAAGATTTTTTTTTTTTTTCAGGGCTGGGGAAGGTTGGAAAAATGGAACCATTTTGGATTAAGAAAAAAATCCTTTTAGATTGAATTAAATATTTAGGACAAGATGTTCTTTCTGGGGCCAGGTTAAGACTACCCCCTTTATTGAGGCCTTTACCAAGGCCAAATGGCACATGGGGCAGGAAGGGTATTACCAGCTGTTTTCTGCAGGCCTGACAGTACAGACTGGTTTTAGCTGTTTAGTTGTAAAAATGTTATTTTAAATGTGGGTTAAATTGTTTTTCAATGTAATATTATAATGTTTTAGTGTTTTATTCTATATTGCATCTTGCTATATGTGTTTATGTTGTCCACTGCAAGAGCTTATGCTACTAGGTAGTATAGAAAATAAATGAACTGTCTTTACTTCCTCAGAATGAGGAAACAGGAGGACTTTCAGAGGAAGACTAGATTCAATTTCTGGAAATTTTGAAATGTGAAGGTAGGCTTTTAAAAATATATATTATAAGTCTCAACATAGTTATTTCTTCCTTATTAAAATTACTTATGAAATGCAGCTTTCTGCAACCTAGTGTTCTTCAGGTGTTTTGGGCTATCATTCCCATTAAACTTCAGCAAGCAAGGCCAATAGTTAGGAATGCTACTAACTGTAGTCCAAACATCTGATGCTATCAGGTTGGGAAAGGATGATCTAATATATATTTTCCTGAGATATATTTAGGGATGATCCAACTCATGCTGTTTTCCAATATGTGATTACAATCATCATACTATAACATGAGAAGAAAATATGCATTCTTGAAGTTTGGGTTTTGTTTCTGTGCTTGTTCTAATTAAATGATGCAGCAGTGATGGAATAATGAGCGAGTCCCACATGGTTTGTTTTTTAACACACTATGAGGCTTGTGTCTATGGATTCCAGTGGCACAGTTTTTAGTAAGTTTCAAAATTATATCTTGAACAATGCAATGCTGCCTCAGCTACAGACACTTTTAGCTTCTGCTACTAGAATAAACTCTCCCTACCTAAAAGACAGATTTCCTATACCATTGGTATGTGATCAGCACTACCACTGAAGACCAGCAAAGTTTTACTGTGTTGGAATATTAAACTCCAGATAGTGACATGACTGAACATTAAGACATGTGTTAAATTAGTTAGTTGGCTCCAGAAAAGTATGTTGCAGGAAATGGTTAAAATAGTATGAAGTTTCAAAATGTGCAAAATTTTAAATTCTTTGAGAATTTTGATTTTTCAATTATTTGTTTTTATGCTTTTTTGGTCTGTTTTATAATGTAGGCTACATAGACAGAGGTCACAAATCAGGAAAATCCACCATGGGCACACAAGTCATGGGACGTTGCATGCTGTCCAAAGCCAGTGTGCTCTCTGCAAAGTGACTTCCTTTTTACAAATAAGCCATTCTCTGAACACATGGATTATTGTAGGATCATGAATGCCCATGATTGATTATCATGTTGTTTGAACTCAAGAGAGTGATTTTATCATCGACTGCTGGAGCTGGCTACTGAACTGCTTTGCAAAAGCAGCAAACCTTTGTTGCAACCCCCAATCTCACCTTAACTGCCCTTTTCACTGATGCCAAAATGGCACTTTGGAAAGGCCACCACTCTTTTGCCACCTTTTAATAGTAGTGCCTCAAAAGTGCACAAATGGAGCAAATTTTTGTTGCTCTTATTGCTATTTTTTGTTTGTTCTTTGTAAATAAGTGCTTGCTGTATATGTAGTCATGTCTACTCTGTTTCCTAGTGTATTTCATGTGCCAAAGGGAACACAACTGACAAAGGATAATGTCTTAAAGTGAATTTGCACACAGTTAAGAAGGACCAAGGCACAAAAAGTGGGTGGGAAAGAATGGAGAAATGCAGCAGAATAATTCAGAATAACTGAAAATGGGGGAAAAAGATGAATTGAGGCATCAAAACAGTGTGTATGCAACAGTCTCTCTTGTTTAACAGTATGCTCCTCCTGTGTTTAAAAGTTGAAATGACACTTCTCAGTGTCCTTGACTGTTTTAACACTTCTGAGTTTCAAGCTACTCCATAAAAGGCAGATATTAACCCTCACTGCTTTTCACTGACCCCTTAAAGGTAACTGACTGGGACAAAGCAACAGAGGAACGTACACCTACAGTACTTAACAGCCATACCTAATGGGGCACCATTCACTCCATTGCAAGAAGTTACCTTCTAAGGATTAAAAAACTCTTTTGGAGACATGCACTTCAGCGTGAACTTCAAATACTATTGGCTCAGAAGATGCTATTATGTGCCACTGAGGGGGGTAAAAATGCATGCCCTACAATTTTTACCTTTCAGTTTCAGTGATACAGTGTGGTAGCATGGATGGTCTGGGAACCATATACTTTCACAGCTGAATTCTAAATACATTTACTTAGATGTAATGCTTACTGTGTTCTAGAATTTTTTTTCCCAAGTACAGTGGTACCTCAGCTCGTGACCAAATTGGGTCACGAACAGAAACTTCTGAAAAATTTTGCCTCAAGTTGTGAACTCCGCATCGGGTGACGATCGCAATTGCGCCCGTCTCCCCCCCCCCAAGCGCGCCTGTGATCACACCCATCTAACCCCCCAAGTGCACCCGTGATCGTGCCTGTCTCCTCCCCCCCATGATCGCACCCATCTATGGCCGCGATCGCGCTTGTGCTGGCGGTGTGGGGGGGGAGATAGCCGCGCTCCTGCTCGGAGTGTGTTGGGGGGTGATGGCCACGATCTTTGTTGTTCTTTGTCACTTTGCTTCAAATTTTTGTGATTAAAAAATAAAGCTACAGAATGGATTAACCTTATTTACATTGAACCTTACAGGGAAATTTAGATACACATAGAAAAGCAGCTTTCAGGAAGGTGAAAATTATCCCAACCTTATCTTTTACTCACTAGGAAGGCTTTTTCCCAACAAGCTGAATAAAATGTTTTGCATCACCTAAGCATTTTCTAGATTAAAAGAATAAAGGATGTTTATGTATTCTGCAGGAAAAGCTATAAAGGGTTTTTTATTTAATTATACACACAAAGTTCTTTCTACAAAGAGGTGAAGTGGCTCATATATGGTGGTCTAGGCATCTTGAGGTCCATATCTACCTTGAGGGCTGGAGAGAATTTCTCTCTAAAAGTTCTAATAGTAAGATTAGGAATGTAGGTTCACAAAGATACTTTTTCAAACTTCTTTCACCATTTTAAAACATACAACATACTGTTTGACCAATGAATGCACAAGATAATATAAAAATGGGACCCATATGTAAGTTTTTTCCAAGCATATGAGAATACCTACTAAATGCATACATAAAAGTCAATAGACCATGCACTTAAAAAAAAAAGTTTAACTGATAACTAAAAATAACAATAAACATCATGCACCCACTCCCCAGGAGACCAGTTTATATCTCCATTTCACTTCATATATTATAGAAAGTAACAATATATTTATTTATAATTTATATTATAACTTTAGTTAAACCCATATCCCCTCCAAAAATTCATATATTCTTGATTAGGCTTACAGCCTTTCCCTCCTATCAGTCCTGCTTTTACAAAATCTTCCCATATTTCATTATATCTATTTAATTTATTGTCCTCTTTTTGATTTTTATTTGTTGGCAATTTACCATTAACAACCATATTCCATATTTCATTATGCCATTCATTCCGTTGTATAACCCAATTCTGTTTCCACTATTTAACCATTAGTAACCTGGCTGCCATTCTCAAGTTTAGAATCAATTCTTTCTTAGCTTCATTTATATCTTGTTTTTCAATCAGAAGCAAAATGCAATTCTTGGTGACATTTCTAGATTTATATCTAGAATTTCTCTAATTTCATTAACACCATAATCCATATCTTTTGTATATTATCACAATCCCATCACATATGTTTATAAATTTCAATCTCTTTTCCACATCTCCAACATATATTAGAATATTCATCATCAATTTGGTTTAACTTAACTTGCATTAAATACCATCTCTATATCACTTTCATATCACCATATCAAATGTTCTTTAATTCTAACCGACATATTCTTATATACTCTTTTATTCCAAATATTCTTCAAATCCTCATCATTTATTTCATCAATGTCCATTTCCCAAATCGATTTTAAACTTTTTGCCTGATCCCAGAATTCTATTAATATTTTATAAATGTTAGCAATTCTTCCTTTACCTGTATATTTTTCCTTAATCTCACATTCTTTCACAATTGTTTCAAATTTTGTTGTCTTTCTTCCTCTTTAAATTTTCCCTCCATCTTTATCCGTTTTTCTAACTGTATTAAATTTAACCAATTTAATTTGGCTTCTGCCAATACACTCCTTGTGTTGTATTTTTTATCTTATTTTTCCAGTCTTTCCATTTATATATTTGATTATTTTTAGTTTATTAATCCAATCCTTTGATTCTATTTTTGGGAATTCCTCCATTTCAAGCACTGGTGTTAACGGAGAAATTCCTGGCGTTAATTACTGTCTCCATTTTTCCCATACTTCCATTGTATTTTTTAAAAAGGGATTTTGAATTTTCTTAATCATCTTTTTTATATCCTTTTTAAACCAGTATGTCTCTAAGTGATCGCCCATTTCCCTTAATTCTTTTAATTCAATATCACTCCATATTAGTTCTTTGCTTTGGGTTATAATATCTGGAACTATCTTACATTGATTTGTAACCCAATGCTTTTTAACATCTGGAATACCTAGCCCTCCCTTTTTTTGTGATTCATACCATAGTACTATACTTATTCTTGTTCTCTTCCCTCCATTACAATATACCTCAAATAACTTCTGAAGTTCCTTTAATTCTTGATCATAAAACTTAAGTGTAATCATCCAGAACAAAAAAATCATCTTTGGCAAAATTTTCATTTTTATTACTGCTATTCTTCTGAACCATGATAATTTTACCTTTTCATATCTTCCTATTTTATATCCTTCCTTAACTTCTCATAATTTTTCTTTTTTAATTCTTGACTATTTTTTGGAATATCAATTCCTAAATATTTAATAATGTCTATTATTTTTCATTTATATTTATATTTTTCTTTTAATATATCCAATTCTTCACTATTGTGATTATATCATTTCTGATTTTTCCCAATTTACTTGCAACCCACTATACTTCCCAAATTCCTTTAAATGTGGATATATTCTCTCTATAGTATTTATTGGATCTTGAAATGTTAACAGTGTATCATCTGCAAATAAATTAATTTTCTGACATACTCCAATTCCTTCTATCTGTATATCATTTCTAATTGCATTTGCCAGCACTTTCATCATTAAAGCAAATAACATTGGTGATAAGGGCAGCCTTTTCTTGTTCCTCATCTTAAGATTATTGTTTCTGTAATACCATCATTTACATTTATTTTTGCCGTATTTTCTGAATATAATTGATTTATTACTTTCTTAAATTTTATTCCAAATCCCATCTTTTCCATTAGAATCTTCATTGTTGGCCATTCCACGCAATATATATCTAATGCTAATATACTTGCCTTTAAATTTTGCTTCTTTATATAATAGTTAATATTTAAATACTCTTTACAACATCTGACAATTGTCGACCTTTTATAAACCCAAACTGATCATTCTTTATATATTTATCTATAAATCTATTCAATCTATTTACCAATATTGCTGTAAAACTCTTAGATTTTGATTAATAAGGGATATTGGTCTGTAAGATCCAGGATTTTTAAGATCTTTCTTATGCTTTGCTATCAATATTATCATGGATTGTTTCCAAGAATTTGGAATTATTTCCCCTTCCATTATTTTATTAAACATCATTTTCATCTTAGGGACTAATATTTTTTTTCAAATTGTTATAATATTCAATACCCAATCCATCAGATTCTGGTGCTTTACCTATTTTCAATTTATTAAAAGCTTCCAACATCTCTTCTTCTTCTATTTGAGTTTCCATGAGTTCTTTATCTTCTTCTCGAATTTTACAATTTAAATTCTTTTCTATATATATATATATCTTTCTTTCAAATCGATTTCATTTCCCATATATAACTTTTCAAAAAACCTTTGAAAAATTAAAAGTTCTTCTTCCATCTTACTACATCCCCTTTTTCATTCTTGATTACTCCCAATTAAACTTTTTGCTTTTTTAACTTGTGTGGCTCTGGCCAGCATTTTGGAATTTTTATTACTACTTTCATAAAATTCTCTTTTCAAGTAAATTAGATTTCTTTGAACTTGTTCTATTTCAATATTTTGTAATTCTTTTCTTTTAGCTGTTAATTCTAGCATAATGAATTTGTTTTCTCTACTTTTTATATATTTTCCCTCTAATTCTTTAATTTCCTCTTCTAATTTCTTCTAATTATAATACATGTTATTATAAAACTCTAATTTATATTAGGTGTGCAAATATTAGCTACACCTCTTGTCCATAAATCAGACCTTGTATTATATGAAATCTTCCCAAATGATCTCTTTTTATAGCTTTTAAATTTCCATCTTTTGGCAACAATAATTGCAACAGCTCTTACTTTTGATGTACCGTATGATTTTTCAAATGCGTCTGCCCAATATAATTTTAATTCATTCACTCCATCTTTCTTTTGATGTGTTTCTTGTAAAAATATAATATCTGCTTTTTCCTTGTGAATAGACTGTAAACTGACAAGTTAAGAAATGCCAGATTTGGGTGAATGGAAAGTAAGCAGTATAAAATGGCTTATCTAACAAAAAGTTTTTTAATCCGCATTAATTTTTAAACTATAGTTTGATAACTACAGCGAATACGTCTAACAACTATCATCTTAACACATGGAGTTAAATCCAGTGTTATGACAGTGGAAGCACATTAGTGCAGTAGAGATTTTCCCTTCTTTCTTCCCTCCTCCAGCATTCAGTGTGACAGGAAAATCTGCCTGAGCATTTCCCAGTCCTTCAGAACAGATCAATGAAATGATACCATTGGACAGAGCTATGGTGTTTACAAAGTGATAATAAAGTTCACATTATCTGAACAATTACTCAGTTTTTTAAAAGGTAAAAGAATCCCTACCTTTCAGATGCTTCATGCTTTAATACTGGATCACGCCCATGTACATCTGTCTCCATGAAACCGAGAAAATCATGATACGGACTTAGTGAGTCTCTTTCCAAGTTTGTGTTACACATAGCATTAAATGCTGATCCTAGACCTCCATGTTCTGTATCCAAAGTATTATCATCAGTGGGGTGCCTATCAATGCTGGGAGAACTAGTAACACTACCTTCTTCCTGTTCTGAACTACCGTTTTGCTTCACATCACGTTGAAGTCTACTGCTCAGTCCATCATCCCTGAACCCTTTTGCAAATGGGTTGTAATCTATTTTCAGTTGTGTAATTTGGATGTTTTGATAGGCAGTCACAGCAAAGAATTCAGTCTGTGGGAAAGTGAAGGTATGAACATCAGGACCATTCAGCTGGATAACCTCCGTGGCTTTGTCAGCAGGCACCAGGTGTAATCGAGGTAGATAACGGTGCATAGAGTGTAGAATGATATGCCCTTCTTGGTCCAAGGTATTATTAGTAAGTTTCAGTTTGTAGAAGGACACTAGCTGGTGCATCCAGTAATCACCAGTAGAAGGCGATTCTGGGTGAATGAATACTCTTCCCAGCACATGGGGCTCTGCTTTTCCACTGGGTTCCCAACTATGGCCATTCCATTTATACCGAAAGCTGTCAACAGGAGAAATATCCATGACAAGGATATACTTTAGATTGGGTTCAAGGCCTGCTATCCAATATCGACAATATGGAAACATCCGTCTTCCCTGCTTAGTCAGAATCATTTCTGTGCTGCGATGGTAGAACTCGTTCCACATGTTGTTGTTGTCCAGTGTAACAGTAATGTTTCCAGAGGTGCAGTCAGCTGCAAGGTAGGTCTTTACTTTAGGTTTTGTTGTTGTTGTGGCATTGCTGGCAAAGCCACAATCATCTCGATTTGAAACCAAGATGCCTTGATCAGTTTTTCCAGTGCTCTGTTTCACAAGGACATAAAGAGCAGGTGTTGTACCTGATACTGCTCCACCATTCTGGTTCCCTAATACAACTGGTTGATTCTCCATCATGGGAAGTGTTGAAATTTCTCCAAATTTCTCCATATTTCACAGTTCTGACTTTACTTCATGTTTATCATCCTGAAAATTATAGGAAAATCATATAATTTAAATCATTTTTAAAGTATTCCTGCAGGAACATATCAGAGTCAGGCTATCACAGCACATTGTTACAGTGGTACCTCAGTTCATGAACGCCTCAGTTCATGACCAAATTGGGTCATGAACAGAAGTTTTGGCAAAATTTTGCCTCCAATCATGAACTCTGCATTGGGCAAGAACCACGACTGCAGCCATGTTCCTGCATGAACACAATCGTGGCCATCTTCCCCACACGAACACTCCAAACAATAACCTCCCACCCACCATGAGGGCAAGCCATGAGGGCGCACTCACCTCAGTCAAGGCCTTCCCAGCTGCTCACCACCACCCCACTTCCAAGCTGGAGGAAGACCCCCTCGTAGGTATTCGCCCGGCTCTGGGAGGGGGAGCAGGAGGCCAGAGAGGCGAGTGTGGGGCAGCTCACCCAGCTTGGAGACAGCCACGAGGGGGAGGTAAGGACTGCTTTCCATGGGCTGAGGCGAGTGAAGGCGAGGGACGAAGCCAGGACTGGCTGAGTGGGGCGCCTTTTGCCTCTCCCTGCCACGGGGAGAACAAGCAGGGTGGCTGATTGGCAGCAGCACCTTGCCCTGAGAAGGCCACAGCGGAGGTGTAGGAGTCGCGGCCCCGATCCCACTCTGCCTTGGCCCATCCGCTCCCATGCTTGGTGAGGCGGCCGCAGCTTGACCTGCAGCCCAGGGATCTGGCTCATATTTTTGTGGTTTCAAAAAACAACTGTATTTATTTATTATTTATTTAAAACTTTTATATACTGTCCTTTATATATAAAGTTATGGTTCAGAATGGATTAACCTTATTTACACTCAACCTTATGGGGAAATTTGACTTGGTTCATGAGCAATTCAGGTTGTGACCAGATTCTTGGAACGGATTAAGTTTGTGAACCAAGGTACCACTGTATTTCTAATAATATAGCCAAAATATTGTTAGGGTTCAGATATATTCATCTATGTAAAATATCTGAATTTCCTAAACAAATCCAAATACATGTCAAAGCCTCAAAGTTTCTTAATTAGATCAAAATGAATTTGCTTTGTTTTTTTGTAAGCAATCCAGAGACTTTAATATTGGACAGCATATAAAAACTTTAACTAAATAAATTTCTTGTTGGCTTAAAGCAGAAAGTCCAGGAGATGACCTGCCACATGAGGGTTGGGGCTCAAGGAGACAGATCCCTGAATAGAGGAACCACTGGACAGTTTCAGGGATTCCCCCTAATACCTCAGCAGCATTGACACATCCCATCCTAATCAGCAAGCTGCAAGTGAGATAAAATTTTCAGAAGTTTTAGAAAATACATCTTTTCCCTTCCACAACCTTTGCACTGAACCCAAGATTTATATTTCAAATACTGAAAATTTTATTTATCTATTTATTGCATTTATATGCCGCTCCATAACCCAAGGGCTCTCTGGGCAGCTCACAAGAAACAAATGTATTAAAATGTATTAAAAGAGAGACCAACATATAATACACAAAAGTTTAAAAGAAGCATTCAATTAAAAATAAGAATCAGAAATACTAATGTGAATCACTATAAAAGTTGTACAAGAAAGCTTTTTCAAAATCCTGAAACAGTAATTTCCAAGCAGTGCAGTATTGTGCATACGAGTATTAACCCTGAAAAACACTACACCTACCTCAGTTGAATTTATCTTCATTTAGTTCTCTTAGCTGGCAATTGAACCGAAACTAGCAAGTTTAAGTAACAATACTGGACAACTGTGTAAGTGGGGAACAGTAACTTATCACTTATTATCTTTACCTCGTTCAAGTGCTGGGATGCAGGAACACTTCAAAATAAAGTGTGACTGGTGAACAACAACCAAAACAACCTACCTTCTAGACTATTTATCTCCCCTTCCTCTGGAAAAACAAAAGGGAATCTCTCTGCCATAGTCCAAACCTGTCAAATAACCAATTCTAGAATTAGCCATATTTTTTGAAAGCATCTGACTTGTTTCTGCAGGGTTGTCAAATTAGAAATTAGATTTGGACCAAGTTCCAATCCATACTTAGTCATGATGCCAACTGAATAATCATCTACCAGTTATCTTCTCTAAGCCTAGCTTAACTTAGAAGGTTGTTAAGAGGATAAAATAGCTAGGAGAGGCAGTAGAAAGGGAGGGGGGGAACTAACCCTCCCTCTGGGGATAGAAAATTTGGATACAAATAAAAACAAACAGAACAATACCAGCACACTCTGTACCTAAAGGTATGGAGTTAGCATAGTGAACTTATAATTTCACAAGAATTGTATTATGAAATGCCATGCTACCCTGGTACCACAAAAATAAAGACTAGCATCTCCAAGTGATACTATAGCTGATATGCTAAATGCATAACTGTTTAGAATTTTAAAAAAAAATTAAGTTACTCACTGTAGCCTTTAACTGGTTTTTAAAATTAAGGCACAGCATAAAAGTAAATCATTTTTCTGATCCAGCTCAGAAAATGCCAAAGAGTAGCTTTCTAAATGAAAATATGAAGAGTGCAGAATAGTTTCTGATTTAATTTCTTTAAAACACATTGTTTGTTTCATTAAAAATATAAAAATGCAAAATTTGCTCCATAATTAATTAATATCAACTGGCATTGGTATTAAAAACATATCTGGAATGCAGTTTAATGAAAACTTCAGAATTCTAATGCCAAGCAAACATGAAATAAATCTCAAGTTTTTGCTCAAAGTGGCAATTATGTAACTTCCTTCATAGATATATGTTAATGTTAGCCGCAGAGATTAATATGGTGGTAGATGGAGAGGGGGAATGTTGCATTTAGTTCTACACAGGAAATACAATAGCAATTCTCTAAAAATAAATTTTATCTAATTGTGGTTTTAACTGCTTTATACATTATTATAAACACTCAGTTACAGCACCAATTAAAAACAATGTGTTGTGTATGTGCATCACAATATATAATCAAGTACACCTATAATGTGTAGGAAAATAGTTACAAATAGTATTTGTTTTGAATTTTACTTCCTCTCTTCTATTATTATTACATTTCTATACCGCCAGTAGCCAAAGCTCTCTGGGCGGTTCACAACATTTAAGTCACCCATCTAGATTTCAACCATGCCCGACCCTGCTTAGCTTCCAAAAATTTGGCAGGATCAGGCACTTCGAAACTTAAACGTATATGGAAGTCCAGTTGTCAAAATCTCAGATAAACCAGAACATCGTGTTTTCAATGCCAGTGTTTCATACCTTACACAACCCTCAACGCGCTTACCTGGAAGTAAGCCTGACTTACTCCCGAGTAAATATGCCCAAGCTTGTGGCGTTGTCAGTGATGCGATTTCTTCCCGCGTCCATCAATCCCTCCGTGCTTCCTAACTTTTCAACTTGTGCAACCTGGAAAGTCACGTGCTCCTGTAGAAAACAGAAAACTATTCCTCAAGGAGAACGCCTCTAGCCTCCTCCCCACGCTAACGTAGCGCCACAAAGGCTTGGTCAAGGGACGGAGACTGACAACGTGCAGAGCAGAACCGTCACAACCCTGCCGGATCAAAAAAAGGTGCAGGGCCGGGGGAAGGAGGCGAGAAGGAAACTTTAGAACGGCAAGGAGCAGCAGGGAAGCCAAAGGCCCGCAGTCCGGAGGCGCGCTCTAAATCCAGCAGCCCGTCCAGGAATAACATGCACGTGCCCGCCCCGAAGCTCGCAGGGCTGCAGTATCCCCCCCCAACCGCCTTCTCGAACGCAGCTCGGCCGACGCACTACGCGGCCACCGCCGAAGCGCGCCCGCCACCCGAGTGTCCAGGCGCAGCGCCTCAGCCCACACCCAAGCGCGCGCGTGACAAGACGCCTCGAACGCCGAGCCCCGCGTGGCGCGCGGAGCCTCCCTGACACGCGAGGAGCGGCGCGCTCGCGCCCGCTCCCACCCCTCCCCCGTCTAGGCTTCGAGCCTTCCGCTCATGGCCGCCACAAACGGGTGTTAATATTCGCAGCTGACAACAATCCTCGGCAGGAGGTGTGCGAGACACGCGGGAAGTTGCGCGCTAGCCACCACGCGCGCGCGGTTGCAGACCTGACGGATTCGGGCTGGGCACTTCCCCGTCACTCCCCCCTCCCCCGCTTTCGCGACCCGCCAGTTACCGTGAAATTGTGAGCGAGGCAATGAAAGCCCCTCCCCCTCCTTGCTAATGTTCACAGTCAAATCGTGTTACCCGAAGGGGAGAACGTGCGCACGCACCCATGTGACGTCGTCGGCGCGCCTCAATTGGCGCACGCGCGGTGCAGGCCCGCGCGCCTCCTCCTCCTACTCGCCTGCAGACTGTCACGTGCCCGTGGTTGTCTCTTCGCTTTCCCCTTCCCCCTCCCCGCCCCTCGCGCGCGCTTGCTCGGTTGGTTGCTTTGGAGAACTCGCGGCTACGTAAAAGAACGTTCTGGAATTCTCGCTCCTTTCCCACTGTCACCCCGGCACACACGCGCACGCACACGCACTGCTTGGCTTTGTGGTGGGGGGGGGGGAAAGGGCTTAAAGGTTTGCCCGTGACATTAAAGTCTAGTAATGCCTGACTCTAGGGGGCGGTGCTCATCTCCGTTTCCTAGCCGAGGGAGCCGGCGTTTGTCCGCAGACAGTCTCCGTGGTCATGTGGCCGGCATGACTAAACACCAAAGTGCAGGGAATGGCTGTTACCTTCCCACCGATGTGTTACTTTTTTATCTACTTGTATTTGTATGCTTTCGAACTGCAAGGTTGGCAGGAGCTAGGAGGGAGCAGCAAGAGCTCACCCCATTGTGTGGATTCCAACTGTCGACTTTTCAATCACCCAGCCCAGCACCTCAGCAGTTCAACCCACTGCACCTATTTAAATAGCTCAAGTTCGAGTCCTTCCAAGTCGTTCTTCCACCCGCCCGGCTCGCCGGGACGTTTACTCGAAGCACTTCGGTGCACAGCTGCTTTGTCTGTCTCAGTGCCCTCAAAGGGCGGCGGTCTGGTGTGTTTCCCTTCTGCTCCTTCGCTGCTTTTGTGAAGGAGCATGTTGGGAACCTGTTGTATATTTGGTTATATGCAGGTTCAGCAGAGGTAAGCATCAAACAGCAAATGTAGTTAAGAGGCTGTTGCTTGCACCTGGATCTATTGGACTCCCCACTGAGAGATTTTTTAACAAATGTAAAAAAAAAAAAAAAGGCTTATTTACTAGCCAACAATTAATATGTAACGTGTGTGGAGGAGAGATGTTGGTATGTTCATGCAGAATATTCTGCATGAAGGCTAGAAGAGGCAGAAAAACACATGCTTCTTCCCTAATGGGGATGAGGAGAGGGTGGGCAAAAAGTGTCATGTGACCCTTTTGCCTTCCTGGTGAGTTGGGAGGAGAGAAGGAACAGGAAGAACATAACTCAGACTGAGAGGTCAGTCTCATTTTATCTGTGACATTAACCCCTTTCCTCCCACTCTAATTAATGGACAGAACCATGTACTGTTAATGTAGATTATTACTATTTACATTTCTATACTGCCTGAAGCTAAAGCTCTCTGGGCAGTTCACAGCATGATATAAAACAATAAAACACAATACATAAAACAGCATTTGAAACCCTAACACGTTGCATACATTGACTTTTTCAAGTCTCAGCCTGTTCTGCAGGCTGACAGAATGATAGCTGGCTGGTGGTTTTACCATGGTCTTCTCCATATGTTTGCTTTTTGTAACTTGCCTTGCTTTGTAGCATTCTCTGTTGCTGTCTACTATTTGCTTTGCAACTAATTGTCTTTTTTGCCAGGTGGGAGTTCAGTTCAAGTCCAGGTTCTGTTTTTCTTTAGAGCCTCTTTTGTTCCATGCTGCTTGCCTCCATCTGTTGCCCTTGGCATTAGGCATTGCTCCAACTTGCTTCCAGGTTGAAGGTTCTGCTGGTAACACTGAGCTGGAGAGGCAAGACAAGCATGGTGCAAGAACTTTTTTGGAAGGTCTTGTGGAATTTCTGAGACTTTGTTCTGGCCCTTTGGTTGCTTTGCCTATGTCTATCTCTACATCTCCCACAGCACCTTCACTTACTGGAATGCACTCTACCTCTAGTACATTTGGTGCATCACCTGGTCCAGATTCTCATCTGTTTGGAGCTGTGAAAACTCCTTAAATAGAAGAGATGTCTTGGATCTTCTCTTTAATCAGATGTTGCACCTTTTCTAAACATTGAGCTCTTATTGAAAACGTGTATGCCTTGTGCACATTTCATCATTCTCTGGATGCAGCACTTCGTAGGCCTTGCTTCTGGGAGAATGGCTTTCAGAACAGTCTCTTCTGTTTTGCCATCTAACGTAAATCTCTTTTCTCTTGGGATGAAGCTGTACACCTTGCACCCAAAATCTCTTCAAATGCCAAGGTTTGGTTTTCTGTTGTGCTATTCCTTGTACGGTGTTTGTGTTCTACTGTGAGAGTAGCTTGCTGTCATGATAGCCTCTCCCAATCATTTATTAGCAAGGCCTAACCCCACGAGAAGACATTGTACTGCTTTCAGAAGAGATTAGTTATGTTTTCTAGCTAATCCATTTTGTACAAGGGTGTAAATTACAAACGTTCTGTGATTTATCCCCTTCTCAGTAAGGCTTGTGGGCTGTGGGACATGGACTTGCTTCCTTGATCCATCTAAATCACCCTGGGAGTTCTTCTAAGCTATCATCACATAGCATTAAAACATCTCTTGTGTGTAAGCAGGTTGAACACTGTGTATTTAGAAAAACAATTTAAAAGGTAACTGTGTAGTGATTTCTACCAGGAGAAGACACTTGCATTTGCCTATTATGTCACTAAAGACCAATTCCAGCGATTTCTTAATGCATTTCTTACTACATGGTGGGAAAGTGAGTCTCAGAACTTTTGCTTTGATGCAGCATGCTTATCTTTCAAGTTAATTTAGAGTACATTGTTTTATGTTGATCCCTGTGGTGAGGTCTCTGTTTTGTAGTTCCAGAATTGCCTTGTGATGGCAGTGTCCCAGACACTTGTGCCAGAATTCCAGGTTTTCTTCAGGAGTGTTTCCTACAGACATGTGCACTTGTTCACCTGAAGAACTCCTAGCTACACTGACTTGCTCATTTGAAAGACTAAACTCATACACACCTTGCTTTTTGTTAGCAATTGCATGGATTTCACCTTGATATATAAAGCACCCACTATTTTAAATTGACTTCAAATTCATTATTATTTAATCTTGAAACATGCACGACTGCATCATTTTCTGGTACATATAGGACATTCTTAATCTTGACTTTAGAACTTTCATTTCTAAATTTCTAAGGCACCAATGATAGAGCAACAACAACAGGCTGAAGCTGTTAGGGACAAAGTTGGATTGAGGAAAGCCAGTGAAAATGAGACTCTCTAGAAAATGGTAACAGTTTGGCGCAGAATGAGAAGACAGTCTGCATCACTGCAACCACTAGTGCTAAGTAACTGTTTTTAGCCATTGGAGGATGAGACCAGTGGACACCCTGCTGAGGAAGAATGAGAAGATAACTTGTGGAGCAGGGAACAGGATGCTGAAAGACAGCTGTCCCAGAGAAAAAAGTCATTGTGGGAGGCTCCTTGTTGCATAGCATTGAGATCCAAGTGTGTTGTGATGACCCATGGACTTGCCAGATATGCTGAGATTAGAGATGTGCTGGAAAGATTGCCAAAGCTCATAAAGCCCACAGACACCTATCCCTTTCTTCTAATCCGTGTGGGCACAAATGATACTTTGTAGCCAAATAAAACTACAAAGAAATCATACCAGATTTTGAAGTTCTGGTAAGGAAACTTTGGGGCCCAGATAGTGCTTTTAACAGTCAATCCTCTGGTTCCTATCCCCACTTTCTAGAGAAGCAAGTTATCTGCCATCCATGTAAAACATTTCTTGCAGGGCCACTTTTGGCAGAATTTGCTTCTCAACAGATAGATGAGTAATTGAAGCCCTCCATTACTACCACGGCAGAGGATGAGGTGGCTAGATGGAGTCACTGAAGCAGTTGGTGTGAGCTCAGGTGGTCTCCGGGGGGGGGGGGGAGTGGTGGACAGGAGAGCCTGAAGGAGTGTTGCCCATGCGTTGTGATGGGTTGGGCATGACTTTGCAACTAACATAACATAAATTACTACCACATCCCACTTCCTTGAAATACTGGCAATTTGCTTAACAAAAGTTTAGTCTTCATCTTCTTGATTGGGTGGTTCGTAGTAGACTCTGACTGTCATATTCCTTGACACATTTATTTTGGTTCATTGTTAGCTTAGAAGGAGAGAGAAAAGCACATGCTTATTCTGTCATGGCAAAAAGTATGTGATCTGCCTGTCTTTTCAGGTGAGGAGAGAAGGAAGGACTTGGCCTCTCTGAGATTGGCCTCTCAGCTCTTGAGCGAACACCTTTCATCCCACTCTGGTTAGTGGACAGAACCATGCAATGCTAATGCAGGTGATGTTACATATACCTAAGAAGGCACCCTCCCATGGCTAATTGCAAAGAAGTGTAGGATGAAATGTGTTTGGTTTTGAGGGTGGGATACACTGGCAGGGGGAACCTTGCTCATCTACCTTAAATCTCCAGTGCAACCTCCCTGCATCCTCCTGTTTCTGGAATATGGCTAGAATGTGGCTTTCATCAAGGAGTCTTTCTGCTTTTATT